CCCTTCTCCCTTCCCTGCCTGTTATGCTGAGCGCTTTCCCGGTGGGCTGAAGCAGCCATTAATTCCCGCTAACGGTGGGTCCTGCAAGTGGAACTCATCTTGCCAGCTGCTCCTTCTCCCACTGCAAGGCAAACACACTCCATATCCGTAGATCAAGAAGGCAGTGACTCTCCCCTCCACAGAAGCACCGTGGGGGAAGTTATATTAATGGTTTAGCACAGGGGAAAGAGATCCAGTCTGCCTCGCCTCGTTGCCCCGCGTGCCTCGGATGGAGCACTCACACCAACAATGGCCAGTCTGGGCTGACGATAAATATGTGTCATGATTAAGGGGGATGCCAGAAAAACCTCACGGATGCGGAGAGCTCGGCAGTTCCGGGAGCAGAAAAGGCGAGCGCGGCGATCAGTCAGGATTAACAATGATTACGCACCTGGCTTCACCGCTGCAAAGTGCTTTCCGAAAACAGTGAAAAGGGATGCGCTAAAAATAAACAAACAAGCAAGCAAGCAAGCAGATTTCTCCCAGGGGTGATTGCGAGGAGGTCCCTGGACGCTGGTGCGGGATGACCTTGCTGCTCTGGGTCTCTGATACTGCAGGGAGCACTGAGAAGGGGACCCTGGGTGAAGCGCTCTACGCATGCCCAGGAGGGCTTGTACGACTGGAACCCGCAACCTGCTTTGAGCTGCTACGTCTTCCAGCGCACCGGGAGATGGGCAACTCTGCCGGAGCTTCCAAGCACCTGCCCAGCCCAGGGGCGGGGAACCCAGCCTTCTCTAGGTCCTCCCTCCAGCTCCAGCTGATCATCTTTGGGTGGTCTCCCCGCCTTGGCAGAGTCTTTCCTCCATCCCGAACCAGCAGTTCAGTTGTCGGTTGGAAGAGCATGATGCGAAAATACACAATACTTTGGGAATATTGGTTCTACCCCTTCTGTCTCACCACCCATGGAAAGGAGCTGCCCCCAAATTCTCCAAGATGGAATTCAGGCCTGAGGATGAAAGAGGTTTGCCGCTCCTGGCCTGTCACATTCAATTCACATTCATGTTGTTTCTATACTGCTGAAGCTCTCTGGCTTGGGTACAACCATGTGGGTGGTATGGAACAACAGGTCAAAGCAGCTGGCTATCGCTGCCTCCCGAGGTCTGTTTGCACAACTGCCATCTGGCCCACCCGAAGTCCTGCCTGGAACATCAGTGCTGCGGCTGGTGATGACCTATAAGGCCCTAAACAGCTTGGATCCGGGATACCTGAAGGAGAGCCTCCTTCCCTATGTGTCCGCCTGCCCCTTGAGCTCTGAGGTGGAGGTCCTGCTCCAGGAGCCCTCCTTGAAGGAGATTAGGAAGGAGAATACCCAGAGGAGGGCCTTCTCTGTGGTGGCACCCCGATTGTGGAATATGCTCCCCAGAGAGGTTTCTTTTTGGTGCCAGGCAAAACCCTTTTTATTCCCCTGTTATTTTAAAGTTTGATTGGTTTTCATGGTGATTTTATAGTGAATTGCTGGATGCTGTGCCATTTTTTAATCTGTGCTTATTGTCAACCATCCTGAGACGCTACTAACGGGATGGTCTATAAAAGCTTTCCATCAGTCAATCCACCCATTGATCAGTGGTGGGAAAGTGGGCCATGGAACTGCAGAGAAGCAGGCCGGCGGAACGGCAGCTTCCTGGTCTTTTGAGACATTGCAGCATTACAAGTACGAGGAAGATCACCTGGGGGAAACCCTCGTTCAGAGGGCTTTTTCCCCAGCCTTCCTCCTTGCAGCTGCTGTCGGAGAATCCTTTAAACGAACCAGCATCTCATGCTAATGTGCACAATCACAGGTCTCTTGCCCACCGAGGAGATCCCGTGGCCAAAACCACCCTTTTCGGACGAATGACCCTTCCTGCTGAATCAATCTGTCCTGGTACCGCTACAACAATGTGAGATCCTCCGTTCGTTCTGCAAAGCCTCCCAACCTCTCCTGCCCCACAGTTTCCCTCATAGCGGAGGCAACTGAAATTCATAGTGAGAAACCCGACGAATGGAGCTCTGAGGCATTCAAGCTGTCCATGTACATTGAAAGAAAAAGAAATGCTACCCAGGAATAGAAAGAGAGCATTGACGCAGTCCAAAGACCTACCCAAAATAGATGGATTTCCAGACTGGCTGCTCTTTAAAGGCAACGAAGAATTGTGTGGGCGTGTGTGTTTTCAAACAAAAGCATGCTGGTGCTCTAAAAATACAGCCTAATTTATCCAAGCATGACTCGCGCTAATGGGAAGAGCCACCCTGCGTAGGCCAGGATGCGCTCGCGTTTACCTTGGCAGGCGCAGAGTGGCGTGGAACGGTTGCCCAGCATGCCTTGCATGTGAGACAACAAAAGGACTCGAAAAGCAGCTGCGATGCCCTTTTCTCCCTATAACCAACTGATTCCAGTTTGCAGCTCGGTTGTCTCAGGACTGCCCCACCAATTTGCTAGCTGAGAACACCTCTTCCAGCGCCCTGGCCTGGCTCACCTGCCATACGGCTCTTTCCATTCCAGCTGGAGATGGAGAAAAATGGTACAAATCCCAGATCTAAGTGACTTCTGCCTTGAAGATGAAAGGCAGGGTAAAAATCCCCACGAATTAATTCATGCAAATTAGAACATACATGCACTTGTGTTTCCGTACATCAGGAGCTACATGTATGTGGATAAAGGGAGAAAGGACTTTAATTAAAGGCTGGACGTCTTTAATTAAAGGCTGGACGTCCACATGGTGGGCATGTCGTGAGCGGAGCCGGCTGGTGCCGGAGGTCAGACTAGATGGCCTGGGAGCCCCCTTCTGACTCGCTCTGTTTTCTATGTTTTCTATGTTAATTAGCCTTCTCCCCACATGCTTCTTACTGCTTTATTATGAGAGGCCTTTAATGAAGTGCGTAGTGTGCGTAGTGTGAATTCAGCATACAAGCCACACACTTCCTGGACATTGTGAAGAGTGGAACTCTTATTCCTGAGGGTCCTGAGAGAGATTTTGGCCAAAGAGCATTTGGCAGATCCTCAAATGAATTGGCAGAACGTTGTTTGGTTCACTGCCTCTGGATGGGAACTAACTTAGTCTGGCTCTGATTCTGTAGGTTTTAATCCCTGACATTGTGTTTCTGCCTTGAGCATGGACACTCAGCGGTTTAGCTGTTACCCAAAAGGACGGAAGGGGGAAGCCTTCCTAATTAATTGTGGATTGTATTGAGGTCCTGAAATATTCCCGGTTCTCTCACCCCTAATCCTAAAGTTTGGGGCTTGCTCTGGCCACAAGGAAGGGTACGTACGGGCTCTGCAATGAATCCATTCAGGGTGAAAATCTAGTGCATTTTCTGGATTCAACACTTCAGATTCTATGCTTTTCCCCACACACCAGTGTTGACTTGATCAGGTGTGAATCAAGTCTGCACCCAGATTTCCAGTTTCTAAGTGGGCCATCTTAATTTTTTTAAGCTCAGGAAATGTGTGCAAACTACAGCTGAAGTAGAAAGACAACATGCCTGACCAGGCGAGCTGCTTTCCTGCTTATTGAGTGTTCTGTCTGGGTGCAAGTTGTTGAAGGCACCCGTGCTCCGGTTTTATGCTGTGGTATGTGCCAGGCTGCCTTCCAAGGTGGCTGCCCCAAACCCTTTGAACTCTGAGGATGACGGGAATCCAATGAACAGAACAGGGGGTGCTGAGACGACAAAAACCTCTGTGCTTCCCTCTTTGCCCTCCAAAACATTTAGACAGCCCACCCCTGCCTTCTAATTTTTCTCCCGTCCTTGAGAGCAGCAGAAGCTGAAGGATCACTGAGATCCTCTGGAGGTCAGCAGTGCCTTTGTGCACCCCTCTCCAGCCACTCCACACCAGGTGCAAAGATGGTCATCCATCCTTGGAGTCCTGCTGACCCTGAAAGCACCATGCTGGGTGGAGAGAAGTTCTTCTGCAGTTGGAGTCCCTGCTCAGCCCTGAAAGTGTATTTGCAAGGTCACACCTGGGGCTCCAGCCTAGCCTAGGGCTTCCCAGATAATGCTGGGAGGCCCTAGGATTGCACCCTTGAAGGCTTTGAACTGAACAGCCCTTCAAAGAGAGCACTGTCCTCTACAAAGCAGGACAAGTGGTCACCCTAGGCCTGGACTTCGACCCAACTAGGTACCAGCTGTCCTTTGAAGGATAAAGCCTGTACTTTGGTAGTCTGTTTCACACACACACCCAAATAACATTTCATTTGAGTTATTAGTGTTGGTGCTGCTAGGCATTGTTACAAGCAGTGCCTTTTTTGTAAGAAAAAAGGTGCCGGAACTCATGAAATTATTTACATACCTTTCGCATGTAGTCAATCACTGTACACACACAGACACACACATCAGTTGTGTAACGAAACATAATGGTTGCCACCCACAGTAAGCACTCAGCGTGTGACCACATGAATAATCACAAGCCGAGCAGCGCCATCGCAACCAGCGCGGACGAAGTGCGCACGCATCGGGCTCGACGCACAAGCAGCCCGCATGCACCGTTTTAATGATTTTGCCGCCGACCTGCTACGCTCGACAGGGCGATTCAAATCCACATGGACCAAACATCAAATTTTCAAAAGTTACTTTTAAATCTTGGAAAATCTGTCGAAAAAAGGTGCCGGAACTCTGTTCTGGTGTGTTCTATGACAAAAAAAAGCACTGGTGGCAAGTGTTTGGAAGCAGGTTCAGAGATGTTAGACTTTCCACAGCTTTCAGCTGGTTGGCTTCCCTGAACCAACTCCATTCAGCTGGTTGTGGCAAGGCCTGTAACGTCAAAGAAAGCCTATCATACTGTCTATAGAAAGATGGATAAGATCTGTACCTTTTCTTTTAGCTTTTACTTTTCAAGGTATACTTATATAGAGAAGCATTTGGCCAAATGCCATCTGAAATGGTCCAACCTTGACTTAAGCCCAGCACCTTGAGAATGAGGTCTTAATGGCAGGTTCCTTGAGGTTGGATGGATTGGAGCAGCCCTCCACCCCCCCAAAAAATGTTACCTTCTTGAGTTCGTGCTTGTTGCCAAGTTTCCCGGTAGGTGGCATGGTGGTCACTGTAAAATTATTTGGATCTTCACAGTCACGAATTTTGGATTCCTTGATCAGAGAGTCCAGCTTCTTCTTTGCCATGTTCTCCACTCGCTTCCGGTTGGAGGATGCCTAGAAGGAGAAATGTGGGAAATTAAGCACAAGGGCGCAGAAGTTCTGGTTCCTCTAATTAAGGATTAACATCTATTACAAAATGAAGAAAGAAAAAGAAACGTAGCAAAGAAATAAAAACAAAAGTCTACGTTTGCACTGGACAGACTAGGAACACGAACTACCTCATGCTCGTATCAATCAAGCATTTCTGCACTACAAACACGGTATTGGTTTTAAACCAGTTTAACTGTCATGGCTTCCTCCTGCAAAGACTCCTGGGAACTCTAGACTGGTTGGAAGTGCTGAGTACTGTCTCTCTTTGAGAGTCCTAGTCCTTAAAAGAAATGCGTTTCCCAGGGAATGAACCAGTTAAACCATTTAAACCAGTGGGGGTCTGCAGTGTAGATATAATTCATGGCTTTTCCACTACGCAGCCAAATACCATTCTGTTCTCATCGCTAGAACAGAATGGCTTCTCATTTCTTCCCAAGACCGAGGCAGGTTTTTTGCATCTTGGCAAGATTCCTTTCGAAAGATGCCTCAGCATTGTTTATCAGTCCAGCATTCGGACCGATTCCTTTTGAAAGGCATCCCAATGTTATTATCGATAGCCGTAAAGCAGAAATGCTGCTAACAGGCAGGAAGGGAACACCTTGAAAAAGCACTTTGTAAAACTGGAAACAAACAAGAATAACAAAGGAGGGAGTGGGGGAAACCTACTGAGAGCAACAAGAAGTTTGGAGAGTCATGCTTTGTTACCAAGCCACTGTTGGTCTTCCTGGAAAAAGCCAATATAGAGGGTAAATCTTAACACACCCAACTTATGGATGTTTAAATGTTGAAATCATGTGCAAGATAGCCAATTCTATCCCTTAAAGCTAGGCAAGCCCAGGCATCTTGTGATGAGGACAAAATGGTGACCGAGGCTGCTGACTGTGATGCAAAGCAGCAATCTGCAGATTATAAATGCTGGTGTTTACAGTTGAGTCTTGTGACTTAAATTTACCAGCTTATAAGTGCCACTGTATTCAATGGGGCTTACTCACAAATAAGTTTGTTAAAGGCTGCAGCCTCTAGTTCTTACATAAGCTTAAAATTAGGAATTAAATAAAATTCCCAAATAGTACACCAAAGGCCCATCAATCACAGGAAGCTCTTTTCGGCTCACTTCCTAGTTTTGCAGAAGCAAGGAACAGCCTTTGGTTTCATAGCTGCATTAAGGGAATAATAATACAGGATCACGTGGTTGGGAGAGTCATTAGCGTTATTTCTAATGCTCTGACAGTCCTTCCTAATGTGCTCTGATCTCTTATCTTCGTTTTAATAACAAAGTGGGATATCCATAGCCCTGTATAAGATGAATGAACTCAATTCTTCAGGTTTCAGTTCTCAAAATTGCATCAAGGAGAAGGGTTGAGGGAACCCTGGTATTTGCAGAAATAGCATGTAGAAAAACTAAGTGGGGAAGGGGAGAAGAACTCAAAACAGCCAAATGGGGACTAGGACCAACTGGTATGCTCACTGGATATGGAGTACTGAATAATTGTGGTGGTGAGATGGAAGGGACTATCCTGGAAAGACCATGGCTGGTTGGCTGATACACTGAGCAGGACATTCTGCACTGCAGCATTCTGTATATGCATTTTCATATGCATGCTCATCACAAACTCAGAGCCAAGAATTACCATGTCTATCCTGAGAAGAAAACAAACAAGGGAGATAGTGGCACATTTGGAGGAAATTCAACTGGAAAACCAAGTGGGTTTCGACTGGAAAACCAAGTGGGTTTCGACTGGAAAACCAAGTGGAGAGAGGAGTGGAAGGAATGTCCGTATGGTTCAAACAGTGAGAAGGAGCACCAGAAACTGTAAAATTTGGTTCTTACAGAAATAATACCCTGCTGGCCTGTGTAAACAATGGACAGAATCATACCCAGACGGTGATTGGAATGCTTAAAATTGTTGCTTTGTGTTCTATTCTGGCTTGGTCTGGAGCTTGTGCACAAATAGAAGCACATTCTGTATGTCATGACTGTGTGCTATTTAGCATGCAGCCCATCATGTATGTGTATGTAGGCCCTAGCGTGTGAGCATTTCATGCTTTCTTAATTGGCCTCAGAGGATGGCGATTAATTCCATCAGAAAACAAGCTGTCATTTGCTGTGCTTTAAAAGTCTCTCTCAAGAGCATGGACTGTCAAACACATCTGGAAACCCAGGTGCTGTTTACAGAAAGTTAAAAAAACCTACAGAGAGAGAGAAAGAACAAATTACAAGCTAACGCTAATGAAGATGAAGAAGTAAAACAATTCTAAGCTTTCATCAGCTCGCTTTTAAAACAATCTAAAGGAGACAGCTATTCATTGGAAGGAATAATGATTCCTCTGCACGGGGCTTCAACTTCCCTCCAAGCCTTTCTGCAAGGAGGAACATAAAATTCTTCTCATCTCACTGCTGAAGGTCAGTGTGTCAAACTAAACCTGGGAAGAGTCACAGCAGGGAAGTGGAGAGGGTTTAAGTTGGATTAATGGCTTTTATAGCATGTGTGCTAGCTGTGGGGAAAACATAACAGTTACCTAGGATAACAGCATATAATTGGGAATGACTCTGTTGGGATCTCTCTCTCCAAACAAAGGACTTTCTAGGCCTGTTGCTGCTTGGGCTTGAGCTGCATGCTAAGACTTTGCCCTGTTCCAGGGCGCTGTCCAGGGTCCTGATGCTGACCGGAAGAACAGCGGTCCAGCAGGTGCCTCGACTAGAAGCTGGCTCGGGGGCTTCTACACAGTAACTGAGGGCTGACTAAAGGTTGAAATCAGGGGCGGGGAACGTGTGGCCCTCCAACAGCCACTGTGGCGTGGCCATCAGTGTTGGGCTCCGGAGACCTGGATTATTTTCTCCACTTGACCATGGAAACCACCGTTGACTGACTCCCAGCCTAACCTGCCTCACAGGGTTGTTGTGAGAATAAAATGGAGAGGAGTGGTCATGTAAGATGCCTTGGGGTTCCTTGGAGGACATACAAAGACAAGATAAAGGCATATAAAAATGAAGGAAAGAATTACACACACACACACACGCAATGATGTTGGACTCCAACTCCCAGCAACTTCAGCTGGCATGGCCAAAGTTAGGGATGATGGGAGTTGGAGCCCAACAACTTTCAGCGCTCTGGTTTCAGTCCTGTATTCAATTGTGGCCCTGATCTTGACCGTTCTCTTTCTTGAGAGTAAGACTCAAGATGTGAACTGCCTTGTACTGCCAACTGGGTTCCATGTCAACAGGGCCGAAGTTTGGCTCAGGCAGATGGCACCCCACAAAAAAGCTGCTCCTCCGCTCATGTTTTTGGTCCTGAGATCTGATTGGCCTCCCCGGTCCAAGCCAAGGAGTAATTCTCCCAAAGCGATTTATGCATCAAAACAGAAGCTTGACAGCTACCCTAAAAGGCACGGTGCCACTTGAGTTCGGGGACTTTGACAACCATGTTCCATGAACATTCCAAGGCAGCATCACAGCACCAGACTTTCCCGGCCTCCTTGCATCGTTCCCACACTGCCGTGGTTTGGTAACAGAGCAGTCTGTGCTACAGCTAAGCAGAATAAATGTTATGACCAACAATTTGCTTCTACCATACCTTCCACTTCAAAAGGGTGGTCAGGAAAGAAAAGGAGACAAAAAGCCATCAAGAGAAGCAAACATCATAAATGTATCAGGGATGGACTGCAAGACAGACAAGGTTTTCCCTCAGATGGGGTGTTAAAGGTCCCCTTCACCAATGCACCCCGCAAAGGTGTTTCTCCAAAGAAAATATGAAGTTCTCCTGGATCGTGATCATTTCAGGGTGTGCGTACAAGTTACATCATGGAATGTGTTCCCACAGCGACACATTGAAAAATAATTATCCCAGCACATTTCTTCTTCATGATATGCTTTTTCATTTTAATTTATGTGTAGAATTAGATATGATTAAAAAAACAAGAGGGATTTGCATATGGAGTCTTCTATGGATGCCACAGGAAAACTTAACCCTCTTGTGCTTGGTGGAATTTGGTACCCTTCACTGATTTGGAAGTCAAAAGCGGGTTGGTTTGGGTGACAGTTGGTTTGTTTTTGGCTGCTTCCTCTTTTAATGCAGCTGCGATCCGGATATTTTTTTTAAGCCAGGGACATTTCCATAAAATACAGCTACCATTTGCATAAAGCATGGCCTCCCTCTGTTCAAAATATGGCTGCAATTTGCCCATTTGAGCAAATGGTGGCCATATTTTATGCAAATTCCTCTGTCTTCCAAAAAAGGAAAATATGCAAATCATGACCTGCTTTAAAAGCAGAAGACTGCTGGATTGGTGCATGTCAGACCAGGTCGGCAACAGTGCTGGGTAGATGGGCCAGAATCTGGGGGCTGATGCGGGCCATTCAGCCAGATTTTGACCTCCCGCGTCCATGACCTTAAATGGCCCAGTCAAGGTCCACTGTTTTGAAAGAGTTACTTTTCTTCCTTGATCCTGCAGAATGTATAAAGCCACAACCAAGAACAACCGGCAACAAAAGGATTGTACCGATAAATGTGAGAGTAAAGCAAAAGCCTGGAAGAAAAGTAGAAGTCCTCCTGCTCCCAGGATTCCTCATTGCTGGCTGGGGAATGCTGGGAGTTGTAAGCCATTTTTTTCTGCCTGAACTTGCATAGGGCCGGGCCCTTAAAAGCATTGAATGTTTTATAGAATGAGAAGATCCCCTTGGATGGAGGTTATAGAGATTTGGTACTTCTTCCTTAAAATCTAGATTTGCCAGGGCCTTCTGTATGGAAAGAACAAGAAAGCATAGCTGATCCTCAGCCTTTGGCCACATGCGTCCCATTCTGCACTTCACAGGCATGTCACTCTGCCATGTGACAGAAGTTGGCTTGCTTCTGCGCCCCAGAAATGTTCACAAAGGAACCTTTGACACAGGTGTATTTTCAGGAGACTCCCAACCTTTTCACAAAATCTCTCAAGAACATAAAAAAAATCAGCCTATCTAGTCAATGTTCTGTTTCCTCCCTAGAGACCACTGGAGGCCTCTAGGAAGGCCAGAATGGGACACAAGGGCAGGATATCACAACCCCATTTGTCTGTTGTGTCTTGGCATCCTTGGCAGTAGCACTGAGGCATCATAGCGACTGGCATTGATAACCTCAGTTTGAATGAATCTGCCTAATCCCTATTTAAAGCCACTAGTTAGTAGTTCCATGGATTAAGTATGAGCTCAGTTGAGAAACACATTTCTGTTCCAGCTTGCTGATCTCTGCTGTGCTTTTCACTCCAGCAGCCCCATTGCCCTTCTCCAAATGCTCCCAAACAATCAGGGTTGCCACATGATCAGCAACCCTGATTGTTTGGGACCATTTGGGGAAGGGCAATGGTCTATGATGCCATGTAGCCAGTCAGGGTGAGCGTAGCCATACTTTCTTCCTTCATTCTGAATGGACAAAAACTCCCCAAATCCCAGGAAAAAAGGCAGCAGGGGTATTTTGCCGTTAACAATCTGGCAAAGGCAGCACTCCTATAAACAGATGGTGTTTGGGGTGATCAGTCTCAGCTCGGTATTTTATGAACTTTTGTATTCCATGCTTCATTCTGCAATTCGATACTCACATCTCCATTCATTAGTTTACAGTCATCATCCATCTCATCAGCGCTGTCTTCGTCAGACACTTCTCCTTCCTCCGCATCTTCACTAATGTTGGCTGGAAGCTTCTTCCCCTAAAAGGCAACAGCATTATCACACTGATGGAGCAGCAGCACAAAGTTGAAAAAGAATCAATAGAAAGTCTTGCATGGATGGCTTCTTTGCCCAGCAAAAACTAAACGATAAATAACACAGATGTACAGCCACATGTATTTATTTCTTATCCCTTACAAAATTAGTGCCTTCTCCTAGTTTATCCTCATAGCAACTCTGTGGGGTAGGCAGAATTGGAAGCGTAATGGACCAGTTACTTTACTGTGTGAGCTCCCTAGTGGAGGAGGAATTTGAACCTGCATCTGAACCCATGCGCCTAGGATGGGTCAGGGGAATGTATGGCTGCTCCATTTGGAGCCAGAAATAACCTATCCCCGTGGGATTTCTGTCACCTCCGACAGCCAAAACTTCATCCAGATGGTTCCATTCCTGCAGTCCCTCAAAAGGGAGACAAGCAAATCAGACAGGGTGATATATATTTATCGATGGATAATCTTCAACGCAAAATCCAAAGAGTTCGATTGAAGAGCTGCAGTTTCATCTACTAACTGGGTTACCTGTGATGAGAGAAGATTTTCCAGCACTTATCAAAGCCCCATCTAAACGAGTTACTTTAAACAGGGAATTCTGGAAAAAGTTGCCATTGATTCCAGCACTTCAAAATTCAATCATCTAGAAACAGACCGCAGCAGAAGACAGGATTTAAGAAATGGGAGGAAATGAAGTATGCAGAGCACTGCACGGTCCACCCCAAAAGATCAGTTTGAGAGGAAAACATTTTCAGTCTTAAGTTTGAAAAAGGGAGTCAATGAAAGGTGAAACAACACCTTAACCAGAAATACGGAGATACGTACAAACATTGCATTTGTTCCAATTTCTCCAAACAATTCACATACTTAGTCTAAACGCACGCACACTTTATTTTCCAACAACCCTATCAAGCAGGCTTAAGATCAGAAGATCCTAAGAGGTCCTTTGATGGATCCCTCTGGAGAGGTCCCTTGGTGGATCCCTTCTGGCTTACTCCGTAGCAGTGTCGGGCTAGACTGGGGGCACTGTTTTGGTTTTACACCATGCCCAAGAGCAAGTGTGACAAGGCTGGAAATTGAGATTAAAGTTTCTGGAACCAGATGCTTGCAAAAGAGAGGGCCCCTCCCACCCCCAGAAGAGGCATCACCAGAGAGCAGCAAGTGACAGGAAAAGGGGGAACCTGTCAAGCCAGAGGACTCATGGGATGAAGGCTATGGAAGGTACCCAGCAATGCAAAGATCCATGTTCTTGGCATTGCTTGTGTTGGAAAACCCTTCCAGGGAGGAGCCTCTACAACTTCCATGGATAACTGATCCCACTGGTTGAAATAACTGCTAAAAAGCTTTGGCTGAAGCATAACCTCGGCTAGGCAAGATTTAGGTTTGTACATTTTCTGGGTTCATTTTCTTTGAGACACCATGAACTGCCAAAACAAAAAATAATAATGATTGGCACAGCCTGTCATAGTTAAGCCTGCCTATACAGATATTAAAATGCAAAATTATTTTCCACTCTTTTATTTATAGTGCTAATTTATTGGTGCTCAGAATGTCCAAGGGTGCATCACCATCTGCATGTCTTTCGTGCCAGCCACTCCAGTCTTGGGAGCATGCTGGAGAATATGAATGTGACCAGAAGGGAGACTCATCCACACCACAGCCAGCTTTTTCCTGTCTTAAGTATATGCAGGACATTCCCTGCTATCCAGAGGGGGTGATCTCTATTAGCTGGCATTCATTATTTGATGAAAAGAGAGCCTCAAGCACGACAGCTGTTCCGAAACCTATAACATGGCAGCCTTATAGAACTTCCAGGCTCGGAGCAGTCTACCTCTGCGCATACCAGCAAGCAAGAACAAGTCTGTCCTTTTCATGCCCTGCTTTGCAGACACCCTGAAGGCATCGGGTTGGCCACCGGGGGAAAGAACGGTTTGGACTAGCCAGAGCTTTGGGCTCATCCTGCCAAGTTCTGGCAGAATTCTCAGCACCTTCACCAAAGTCACATTCCCAAGTTTCTTAGTGGAAGAGATTGCAGGAGTCGTGACAGCAGCAAGCTGATAATGATGCACGATTAGTATAGATCTCCCTCTGGCACTCATCTGCTTCTGGATGCTTTGTTTTGCAGGAAGAGCCCATGGCCTTCTTCCCACCTCTGGGAAAGGGTGGCAAACCGCAGCCAATGTCCCAGTGCGGGCATGTACCAGGACGCTCGCCGTTTTGCGGCACGGTGCTTTATCTTAGAGCCCTTTGTTTTGCAACCGTTCTTTGCCTGAAAACGTCTTTGGCATTTACGCCGACCCTGCTGATGGATTAGCCCTGAATAAGTAAGAACAACGAAAAGCTTTTCTGGTTTGGAGCGCTGCTCCTCTGCCCCCGCCCACCCAAGACCTCGTGCCTTCAAATGACATTGAAATACGTTTTTCTTTTGCAGGCTGTTACCCAGACTCCATTATTTTGGCTTCAGTCTATTAAAAGCTTATGATTTTTTAAAACCAACATATGCATTAGAAGCAAGAAGTTGCTACTGCTCCAATTTGATAACGGCAGACATAAAAATTTGGTACACTTCACAGATCCATTCTTGTATCTGTCACACGGTTGGTGTACCAACACCTTGCAATTTTCTATGGACCTGAGAAAGCATTTCATGGAGGAGGAGGAGGAGGAGGAGGAGGAGCAGCAGCAGCAGCAGCAGCAGGAGGAGGAGGAGGAGGACTGGACAGAGAGAAGGAACAGAAATTTGCGCATCAAAGGTGGCTAGTTCACAACCAGAATATGCTGGGAAAAGGCAGGCACTGACTGCATTCCTTGTGCAGAATAAACAGGCTGAGCAATGCCTTCCCATCTCTCCAGAAGTGAAAAAAACAGTTACAAAAGCCTCCAGACCTCCCTCTCTCCTCGTCCTCCTTCCACCGCCCTACTGGTGCCAAACCTTTCATTTTCTCCCCTAAGGGGCAAAATAGAACTTCCCTCCCAAACCCTTTCTGAAGGTTCTGTGCAGCACAGTCACTATTCGTCCTGAGCCAAGAGAACATTCAGCCTGAATTTTGTGGTTATCATGCGGGAAGTGGGGGGCGGCGGGGAGGAGGAAAGGGGTTGAAAGCCATTGGGAAATTCGGGGAAATGTGAGATTTTGAGGCATTACACTTAGGGTCCTCCCTGGTGCCAAATGCCCAGTCCCACCCACCAGAGTGACCGGTGTTGGATTTCACTTCCCCTAAATTGTGGAGTCCCTAAAAGTTCAGCCAACGCTGCCCCCTGTTGCCGGAATGACACAAGGTCACATGCTCCATTCACAAACAGAACCTATTTTGCTTCTAAGTTGGACTTTGTCAGCATTGGGATGTTGGTGTACTCAACATCCCAACCTTTCACAAGTGCCCAAAACATCTGATTTACCATTTGGACTGCCCAACAGGACAAAGCTCTCTTTTTTCCTATCTGATCCCTCCAGAACGCTACATTCTGATCGTGAGGCTGTCTGGCTTGCCCCCTTTGTACATCAAGCCAAACCATAAGACGAGATGGCTTGTCAAGAGCAAAGAAGAGTTCTTTTCTATTGCTGCAGGGTAATTGCCCGGGGTTGCAACCGCACCAGCTTGTAGCCACAAAGAGCAGAGGTAACGGAGAGAATTGGTTGCCTGAAATGCAGCAGAGAAAGGGGAGATGCCATGAAGCCACGTTCCCTGGAGTCAAATCCCACCGACCTCACGGTACGTGACATTAGAGTCTGATTGACGTTAGGAAGTTTCTGGAGAGAGAGAGGAGCTCAGGCATAGCCAGGCGCACATTTATTTAGACAAATAAGTAAATAAATGTAGCTTCCCTGCAATGGACAACCCACAAGCCAGGGGGAGCAGCTGAAATAAGGACTTAAGATTTACAGGGTCCACAAATGGCCATCGATGGAAGAGGACTGGATGAATCAGCACAAATAAAAACGGAGAAAAATAATTTCAAGTACCTTGACTAATATTTTCCCTTTAAGACTCTCCGGGGAAGGCAGCTTTGTGGGATCTTCATTGCTCACGGAAGACAGATCCAGCTTGTCCCCCAGGATTTCAGTGAGGTACTGGGCCATCTTTTTCTGCTGGGCAACACTGCAGTGGTTCTCAATCGACAAAATGACAGGGTACCTGTGGGAAGGGGGGGCGGGGGGGAGAAACGAGCAAGAAATGGAAAGTCAGGCATTAATTATGCATTGATGACAGACAAAACCACCGTTCTGGATCCAGCTGCAAGGTACAGATCATAACTGAGCCACACCAAACTCGTTCCCAACAGGGCTGAAGGCTTGGCCGCTCAGTTTTCTAATGCTTTGTGCTTTTCTTTTAAACATAAAAATCATTTTCCAGCTCCTGTCCCTTGACCTTGCTCCACATTCAGTGGCAGTCCTCTTGCTGTCCTCCAGGAAAGCTTGCTCAAGAGAAAGCGCAGAAGCGACGCGTCTCTACATGCGAACAAATATCCATTGCCGCTCGCACAGCAGGGTCCTAAGGGGCTGAACACTGGCTCTCCACCTCTCACCACACAGTGCAAAGACAGCCCGGTTTTCTTGGGACTGCGCAGCCTGAATTCCACTTTCCTTCATGACCAGCTCTCCATCCATGCGTTAAAAGGTTATTATCTCTGGATCGCGGGATCCAGGTAAACAACAGTTTCCTCCACTCCCCTGTCGAGTGTGATCTCTAAACCCGAGCTCAGCATGACCAGGGCTGACCCCAAACACATCTTAATTATCCCTTTTCCAATTGTGCTAAGCCCTGTTCTAGCATCTGCCCCCGCACACGCTGCACACACACATTTTGACTGCGTCGGAAATTCTCTTTGAAACTCCCAGTTTTCCAAGGTGATAAACGCTGAGATAACCTGCCTCGTAAATAACACTGTGGTTGAAGAAAGAGCAGAAAACACCGTCCAATTTATTCCCTGTGTGGACATTTAGGCTGCTTACGCTCAGCCATGAGGCTACTCAGACGGAAAAGGGCCAGAAGGAATGGCAGGTGTTTCATAGCTTAGCTGGCTTTCCCTGTGCTCTGGGCCTTGGGTGGGATGCTAATTCGAATGGTTATTTGTCCCATTGTCTTGCAGTCTGTCCTCAACCATCAGGGCTGTCGACACCCCTCACCATCTTTCACTATGCCATTCACACGTGTCCAAACAGGGAATAACACCACCACCAACAGCATTGCATTTAGATACCGCCTTTGCTCCTCTAGCAAGGAACCCAGGGTGGCTTCCAAGGTTCTCTGCCTTGCTGTTTTCTCCTCACAACAACGCTGTGAGGTAGGTTAGGCGGAGAACCTGTAAGGGGCCCAAAGCCACCCGATGGCTGAGTGTAGACGACGGCCAGATCTCCTGAAGTCCAGGCCCGCACTCTTAACCACTGGGCAATACTGCCCGGTTTGGGGTAAGCAGGGGTGGCTGTCCAGGGGCTGGGGGCAAATGTAGCTAGGGCAGGGGCGCAGCTCCTCACCAAGGCTGTCAGTTGCCACTTCTGTTATTTAAAATGCCACAGACAGAGGGCCGTTCTGTGGCAACCTGAGCAGAAAAGGGTGGCCAGCGCTAGGGACCACTCTTCCCCGCCACTGCATTGAAGCAGCTCTACAGCTGGGAAATTTGGAGGAAAGGCGTCTGTGGCCAGTGGCCTCTGAGCACCAAGGGGGCAGCTGCACCCATCACTGCTGAAGAGGCAGCCGAACACGCGGAATCAGTGGCCACCCCTACTGCTGCCTGGGGTGAAAAGCGGACCATAGAATCCAGCCCCTCATCCGGCTTTCTCTGAGTTTTGGCATCTGCGTTGGCTTGGGCCCCCTGTATGGCTGCAAGCTCATCGTGCTGCTTTTGAGGGAAAGGAGATCCAAGCGGAGCGGTAGGAAGCACAGAAAGGTTGATCCACGCTCTTTGCTCAGGGCAGGCCGTGGCTGCTCTTGGCCTTCAAGAGAACCTCACCTGCTGGGCCCACTCTGCTCCATGCCCCTGCTCTGCAGGGTTGGGCAAAAGCTCGTGCAAACACCACCAATAGCTGGAGTGACCAGGATCAGCATTCCCTGGGGGCTTCCGCTCACTTTCTGCTTGTCATTGAATCAAGGCAATAGCTCCATTCAGGTGTTCTTCCCAGGCCCCCCAAGTGGGGTGGGGCTGCAGAAGACCTGTGCAGGTTTGGGAAGACCAAACCGGGGAAGTTGTTCAGCCCCCCTCCCTGTTCTCAAATCCCTCACCATCCTAGCACAAGTCTCGTAATATGAATCAGTCGCCAGAATTGTCCACCAGCTGAATATCCCCCACTCCCAAGAGACATTTGGTCCTTAAAACGGAGGATTCGCATGTGTACATACTCGCTCTTGATGAAGGCATATTTGTTGATGGTTTCAATCACATCTTTAAAAAGGATCTTGGAGGTCAGTGTGTAGCCATGGTGGACTATGGGTTCCCCGTCTGGTCCGTCCCAACAGTCAACTGTTAAGAAAAAGAACCAGAAACTTACTCTTAGGCTTAGATCCAGAGTTTGCATTCTTCTCCCCAGTCAGTGGGGTTGTTTTTATCTTGAAGAACGGAGAAAAGCAAAGGAAGAGTGTAGTAGAGAGAGTTCTTTCTCATGAAGAAAGAAGAGTTTTCCCCCTGCCTCCAGGAGTAAGTACGGAAGCATTTTCAGCTTGAGAATCCAAATTCCCTTTTGGAGAAGTTTTAAGGGCCCATCTTCCAGGGGTAGGCAAAAGGAGCAGGGCCCAAATGCCACCACTATCAGCAAATAGTAGCTTGACGTTCTTGCTGGCGGTTGCGTAAGACTAAGGCGAGGAGCTATCGCATAAGACTAAAGACTAACCCTAACCCTCTTAGCATGGGGAGGGAATGGCACAAAAGCTGGACAAATGGGCAGAGACTGGCATTTGGGGGAAAGGGGAGAAACACCAAGCGCACAAGTGTCACCCGAGAAACACCAAGCGCACAAGCAGCAGATTTCGCCCCTGGGCCTGATCTGCACCGATGGACAGGGATTCTCCTTGGTTTCATGAAGGAGGCAGTTTCCTTCCTGAATGAAGACAGTATCCTATGATTAATTATCCCTCTTCTTTTCAGGTGATGGACAGGAACAAGGCACTGTGGAACGCAGAGGTGCCTGCATCATAGCAAGGCTGTGGGTCAGGGAGATGGTGTGCTGCGGGGTCTCCAAAGGAGGATGCTTGTACAGCGGGAAAAAGTGCAGCTACGGTGATTTTGAACCAACTCCCCTTGGAGGAAAGGTTAGAACACCCAGGACTGCTTTGCTTAGGAAAGAGGTGAGTTGGGGGATCATGACAGAGGCGTAACAAAATCAGGCACTGTTTGGAGAGAGGAGAGAGGGAGACGTTCCTTTGGACCCTGCTAGACTGTGGGGACATCCCATTAAGAAGACTGGACAGATAAAAGGAGGGGCTTCTTAACACAGGGCAGAGATAAAGGAGGGGCTTCCCTGCCACAGGAAGCGCTAGAGTTGGAGGGCTAGGTGGCACTTTTGACACCAGAGGAAGCATGCCTGTGTACATCAATTGCTGGGAGACACGGGCAAGCAGGCGCTTCCTTATGAGCTTTGCTTGAGGAGCTGGCTGGCCCCTGTGCGAACAGAAGTCTGGACCTGCTGGAACGACCCAGAAGGACACTCCTGACGTTCTCACCTTCTACACATCGGCACCCGGACTGCAGAACCCAAGCGTACATGTCGACTCTGGACTGAGACATCAGCTGGTCTCCCATGAGGTAGGTGTTATGAGAAGAGGTGATGAAGTAGTGGCTCAAGGGGTGGGTCATGTCCTGGTTGACGTGGTAGTGTTCCGGGTTGAACACATCCCCAGCTGGGCTGCGCATGTAGTTGGTGAATCCTGCCGGGTGAAGACCAGGTCGGCTGAGTGGCAATGGATTACACAAATCATATCAAGTGGTCTTGTTAGAGTATCAGACCAGGACTCTGAGAGCTGGGAGTATGTCAGGACTTTAGCCTGGTCATTAGGATCTCCCAAGCCTGGCAGAGTCACTGCAAGGAGAAAATGAGGGGAATTGAGATGATGGGCTTGGATGCTCCTACCCACCCGCCCGCCCGCCCGCCCTGGACTGCTTCTTCCAGAGTTGACCCAGTTCCGATTCTTCCCTTGAGGTGGTGCAGGTTGGAACTATCCATTGGTCTGAACCAAAGCAGTAAAATATGGATGGTGGCACCACTGCTTGTATCTAAACCAGGGTCCCTTCCAAGCTGCTTTCCAGAGAACAAACACGGGGGCCTCGGCCTCTCTGTGGCAGCTTTACTCAAACGCACTGCGGTGGCTAAGGAGTGGCTTTCACCACAACACAGAAACCCCGTGAAGACAGCCGCATTCCAATCTGCACCAAATGCTGGGAGGCTCATACTGGAATTCACAAAAATGGATTCCTCAAGAAACCCTGCAGCAAGAAGAGATGCATGAGGGGCAATCGACTTGCTGGTCACCACCCACATGCAGAGGCGGTCAGCTTCAACAAGGCCTAGGCCTTCTCAGATCATAGTCCTGGGCAGTGCTTTGCCCCGAGAGTGATTCTTCCATCCCCCATGAAAGTAATGCAATTCCTGACCCAAGGTGCCAGTCAGGAAGGACGGCAGAAGAATGGCAGTGTCACAAGCCAGTGTCCTCCCTCTGGACCTCATTGGCCTCAAGCTGTTCTCAGCAAAACTCTCCTTATTGCTCCTGAACATAAATCATCCAGTCAAGTTTCTGAGAATACACAAAGAGGTTGGCCGACGCCAACCTAGCGATGGCTTCCCAAAACTCTCCTCATGAGCCTGCTCCCGGCCCAGCTTGAAAAACGAGCATGCCTTTTTCCCACACGGTTCTCAACCAATTGGGCGTCTCGCCCCTGCTGCCTCCTAGCCATGGGGCAAGCTCCAAGGGGAGGGGCTGATCTCCCTTTGAAGATTCCCCAGTCTCAATGCCCCCTCCCACATCCACCGCTGCTTCTGCACTTGAGCCAATCAGCTCTGTCCCCTCCCCAGTTGTGTTGCTGGACTTTGAGGAGGGGTCCACCTCCTGAGCACCCCAACATGCTTACACTGTAAACCCTGCATTCTGGAGTTCAGCAGCCCTTGCAGCCCAAAAGCCCTTCTGTGTGTGCTCCTTCTCCCAATGGCATCCTTGAGGGAACAGAAACCCAGCCATTCCTCACAGAATTCCCAGACCAAGCCACAGAGACTTCCCCTCCATCCCCTCCACATGGGCTCACTAACGCCTTTCAGTTGCCTAATTAATGGACAGTCAACTTTCTATTTCGGAAAAGTATCCCTACCAGCATCGGAAAAATGCCCCATAAGAAAACTGTGTCCTTGCACACAGGCTCTGACATTTCAGCTGGCCGTGTTCCTGGAGAATGATTTGGGCTGGAATATGAATTGATGACTGATGCAACTGAGCAAAGCTACCCAAGCCTTTTTTTTTTTTAAGCTACCAGAACGTCCCCCAGGTTCTTCCAGCAATCTTTCCTTCAGCCCCATCTGGGCCAACAGATGCAGATTTCAACCAGGAAAACATTTTCAAAAGCAGGTGAACAAGCCTAAAGCTTTCCCTGATGCAATTTCTCTGGTCCCTTGGAAAGCTGGCCGGAAGCTTTTAAAGGCTGTCCCTCAGGCCTTCCTAATGATTAGCTGGTGGCTTTTCCTGCTGCAGCCAGGTGATCTGTGTTTTCTGACTCACACACGCTCTGCTCCATCTAGATATTTCTTCCTCTTCCACAACAGTGATTTTGCTTTTTGACTTGGTGTCTGTGAAAGCTTTGTCAATTGTTGTTGCTATAGACTTCCTAGCAACCGAACTTGAAGTATATCACATGTATTTGGATGTTTGGTATGATGTGTCTGTGTGTGTGTGTGTCTGTGAGTGCGTGCATGCGTGCAAAATTGAAATCTCCAGGTGCAGACCTGTTTGCTTTCACAAAGGGTCAATTTTTAATATCATCAAGTTGAAATTGGCAGCTTCATGGTGATTGTGGACAGCCCGTAAGGACTGGAGATGTCACCAATTCTTAATAACTTTGTTATCATAGGGGAGACACTCCATCTTGATCTGAAAATTAATTGGGCATTTTGAGTGTTCAGGTGGAGTGCTCAGAAAAGATCTTGAGGACTTAAATATTTGAACATGCCATTTCCAGCTGCCCCCCTACTCTGTGCCAGTCCCCCCTCCCCAACACACTTCCCAAACTGAAAAAAAATACTTTACCTTGGAGAAGAAAGTGGAGGAAAGAGCAAATGGGGGATATATTTGCTCCAGAGGGAAAGGAGGCAGGGGAAAGGAGACATCGGTCCTCACCAGTCAAGCTGGGCCCAGTGGAAAGGCAGAGTGGATGAGCAGGGAAAATGCACATTCTGAGCTACCCCCTTTACAGAAACCGAGTTGGAAGTTGGGTCATGATCAGAAGCGGGCATGAACTCTTTCAAGCACAACAAACCAGATTCTCAGTTCCAGTTCACCCCTACTTATTCCATCCTTACTTGCAATGTGCAGGATACCAGCACGTCACATCCTTGGGAAGCAGCCAGTGCTGTGGGGTGCTGGGAAGGTCCACCACTGACATCTTCCCCTTGAATATCCCCCACCCGCACCCCCCAGCTCAGTGTTCCAAAGGCAGGTCCAAGCTGCCATTACATTTTCCTACAATGCTCCAGGGAATGCGCACATCAGAACTGTTTGGGCTGAGTTTCTACCAGTCCAGTGTGGGGCTCCCACCACACTCATGTCAAAGGCCCTCATATGATGAATGCAGGGTGATTCATTTGGGAGGAAGTAGTCTTACTTAGAGTCTAACTCCAAACTCTTTGGGGCTTAAGAACAAGTACTTCCAGAGCCAACAAACAGGAAGCCAGTAAATTTCTTTCAAAACAGGGGTTCTGCAGTCTTTAGAATGCACACCAGACTTGAGTCTTGGAAGGGCAGCAGGAAAGGAGCTAGGAAAACTCAAGTGGAAGGACATTTCACTGGAGACCAAGGCCAAGATTCCTCATGTGATTGGATTCTAGATCGTTCTGCATAGGTGTGAAAGCTGGACAGTGAAGGAAGCAACCGGGAAGAACACGGATGCATTCAAAACATGGTGCTGAAAGAGAGCTTTGCAAATACCCTGGACTGATAGAAAGATGAACAAGTGGGTTGCATCAAATCGAACCAGAACTTTCCCTGGAAGCAAAGAGATCATGAGAAGGTACAACTCCCTGGAGAAGACCATCATGCAAGGGAAAGTCAAAGATAGAAGGGGAAGACCAAGAATGAGTCAGGTCAATACCATTAAGGAAGCTTTTAGCTCACCGAACATGGCTGCCAAGGACAGGGGATTTTGGAGGGCTTTCGCTCACGGGATCAGCACAGGTCAAAGACAACTTGAGGGCATGCAACAGCACGAGAGGAAAGTCAGCTTGCGGCTGTTTGCACTAGCTATAAAGGAACACGCCAGACAATGCAAGTTCCAGCAATGTTTGTAGGGAGTGATTAAGGCCAGATCAACCTGGCCAGAGCTGAGGGAGGGTGGCAGTTGGCACACCAGCCACTCTGGGCAAGAGCTGCCTGCTCATTGCAGAGCAGCACTGGACCCAAGCGCATCCTCAAGACCTGTTTGAGAAGAAGCACAACCCCATCCGGGCCTAAGCCATGGGGATCAAGGGTGGAGAAACTTTGTATAGTTCTCTAGCATATTTTCTTTGGTCTAATCCATTAGAAGGCCTTGGCCGGCTTTAAGCCTTCATTTATCGCTTCATTTTCCCCATCTGACTTCTTATCAAAATTGACAAGGCACGGTCATTTTTCAAGCCTGATTCTAACTCCATCCAGTCCTACGAAATCAATACTTTCAAGCAAGCGGTCGTTTTACAAAACGGCAGCTTTGGAAAAAGTGGGTGTTTGCCAGAGGTGGGGATCAGGCATCAAGGAGGTGAAGAGAATGGCTTGCATTTCAGAACATATGTCCTAAAATTAAAGGGCAAAGGTTGTGTGCTTAATGGGGCCAGGATGATGATTCCTTCACTGCTATCGATATTTTCTGTCTCTGCCATGATCAATGTTTTTACCTGTTTGCTTTTCCTGCAAATGAGCCCTGAAATTGGGTGTTGCTTGTCTGGTTTTGCCATGCAAATGCAAAACAGGCCTTGATGAATTAGCTCTGCTTGCAGACAACCCTGTAAACAAATCCGGCCGCATTTTTTAAGGGGCTGAAGCAGGAGGTGGAAGAAAAATAAACATAGTTAATTAGTGATTGTGGCCAGATTTACCCGTCAGCTGTAATATACGGAAGGGGGAAGTGTGTCCTGACAGCAGGAAGCTAAAGTCCGTGGCCTTAGCGTGGGAGCAGCGCTCTTGGGGTACGTTCCAAAGAAAAACTCCCCCCCGCTGCTTCCTCCCAGCTTGGGAGCTGAAGGGGAGGCCGGTGGTGTGGGCCAGGTAGGTCAGCTCAAAGACAAACACAAGAGAGGGTGGAGGGCAATAGTGTTATGGAAATATGGAGCCCACCAGAGACGCACTGGGACACTGTCTGAGCGCAGGCCCTGTGCTGAGTGGGCTCATTCCATTTAGGAGGCAGGCATGTAAAGATTGCTGAGCCCCACCTGGAAACATCCCCCAATTCTTCCCTTTAATTCATGCTGCATTCAGTCCTCGCAGTGGGTGCCGCTGGTGGAGAGCCAGCTGCTGGCAAGACCTTTGCAACTTGCTTCTCCGGATGCCTCATCATGGGCTCAGGGGCCAGGCAAGGCGGCGGCTCTCCTTCCTCTCCTGGGTCCCCTCCCATCTCTCCCAAAATGCGTCTGCCGCCACCGCCCACCTGGGAAACTGGGCAATGGCCTTGATGGGGTTTCAAAGGCCCCTTTCCTCCCGTTGCTTCTTCCCTGGAGTCTTTCCCTTCAGAATCCGGTAACACAGGCCCTTGGGAAGTCCATGAAGACGGAGCGCCGGGCCCACAAACAACAGCCTATGTGGAATTGCGCCTCTCCTGTGCGGCAAGAGGTGGCCCCTCCATCTCCAAGCTCAAACTGAAAATCGTTTCAAGTAAAATGCAGAGGAAGGGCATTCTCGTGAATTGAACTGTTTGAGGACATTCAGGAGAAAATGTCAGGGGGTCTCACACACGGCTGCTTTTTTCTGACTCCTCCCACCTCACCCCACTTAATCATCTCCAGTTCCCAAATTGGTACCGCCTGTGTCCATTAACCTGAATAGCTACCCCTCGAGTGACCATGTGGAGCCACCTTTGCTAAGCTGGAAAGGTGTGGGCCCGCAGCTGGATGGGTGACCTCTTGTGCAAGCAGAGCAGGGGGTTGGACTAGATGGCCTTAGAGGTCCCTTCCAACTCTATTACTATTTTACTGCATTCTGTTCATTACACCCTCGTCTTTTGTGTCCATTTGCTTAAGATGATCACTCCTCACTCTGGGTCCATGAAACTTGCAGTATGCACTCTGCCCAAGCACTCCATGGAAGCACAGACGTAGGAAATCTAGCAAATCCTTCACTCAACATCAGTGGGAATTCACCAGAAAAGATTCATTAAGCATGGCTTAGATTTGGATGATGTAGAAGTTTGTTCAGTTTGCACATTAATGTGGATTTAACTAGTCTGGGTTTTGAACCAATATGGAATCTGAAAACCACTTATCCTTCAAAATTTTCACTTCTCTGAATTCTGAAATGAAACATGTTTAAAAAGTAGAAAAATGTGTCTGTTAGTTGAACATGTGAAGGAAAAATCACATGATAGTGAATATGTTCAAAAATGTATTATATTAGATTATTTGCAAAAACTATGTATCTAGGAAGAGCTGCATACAAAAATGCATGTGTTAAGAAGAAGCCACAACAATGCACACATTTTCATGCAAATGTTTCTTTTAAATGAAGATTGAAAGTTCAGCATGAATGAAGTGGAAGTTTGGAAAGATTCTCCAAGTTTGGGATGAACTGAATTTAAGTTTAGAAAAATGAGATTTTAGAGAAACCAAAACTGACTGATTCATCCATCAAGAATTTTGTTTCGGTTGGCAAATGACTTGAAGATTCACCATTTGCCTCCCCAAATGAGAAGGGGAGTGCGTGTTCTCTGGAAAATATTCAGAAATTCCGGGACTTACATTTTCAAAATATTGGATTTTAAAACTAAACCATTTAAACACTGCATTTTAAAGGGTGCATTTTCACTTTTCAATCAATGGGGGTAAATATCCAGTTCTGAATAATGTTCACATCCCCATTTGGATGAACTGGAAAAATAAAACAGGCTCCAAGCAAGAACTCAAGCAAACTGATTCAGCCTTTGAAGTCACGTTGGGGAAATTTTGGTTAACATCTCTGTTTCCCCCCCATCCCTACTACATTCCTGCAGGCACGGATCTATGGATCTTTTTGCACATGGATTTTATAATGCAGCTGGGAACATTCCCACTGGAATCATTCCGAATTTAATTTAAGCAGAAACAGACAGTCAAGAAATAGCCCTTAACTTAATCCAAACCGGTACTTTCTGTTTCCCCGTTAGAAACAGACAAGCATGTGAACCTAAACGGAAGTTCAAATAAGTTTGAGTCGAATTTAATAATCACCCTCTAAGCTTGTCAGGATGAGCTAGAATAAAAATGCTGAAACTTCACAGGGACAAAGAACCACAAGAGCGAGCGAGCCCTTTCCATGCAGCAAAATCTTAAATTAAACATCATTACAATTAAGAGTGCCACAGCAGTGGATATCAACAGAATAGTCATTACTGCATATTTAAAGCAAAATAAGGAGGAATTAAATGCCCACTTGCTTGGAGAGGGGAGAGTTCGAAAACAAAGGTGCGGCTACACTTCCAATTATCTCCCAGCCTCTCCAGGTGGTGGGACACCTAAATTGTCCCCCAGTGGAGATCATAAATCATGGCAGGCTCCTTTGAAAGGAAGCATTCTTTCAGATATCCAAGGCCAAACCACTGAGGGCTCCATACATCAATACCAGCACTTTCAGTTCTCGCCAGAGACAGAAGGGAAGCTTGGAAGATCTTCCAGTATAGCCATAATGTGGCCTATAAACACCCCCCTGCACCTTTGAAACTGTTGACGGTTCTTTCAACTCACACAGAAAAATCAGCAATGGCAACACACATTCAGTGTGCAGGCATGTTGTGGATTTCTGCCCCAAAGAGTTGAATCTTTGCCTCCTGGCCCATATTAAATGCTCTTTCGCCATCCAAACTTAAGTCGATCAGGCAAACCCTTTGGATCTCTCTTTCCTCCCACAGCTAGTCCTGTGTAGCTCCCTGGGAGCTTTTAGGTTTTCTCCAAGACCAACACGACGGTGTGTAGGCCCTGCCTTGCTGTGGCATCTTGGGAACTTCATTCCCAAGATGTGGAGGAAAAAGATAGTAAAGGCTTTCCTCCGGTGGAAGACATCTGAGCTGGCATGGCACAATGTTTTCAGATTGTGTTAGATCTTCTGTGAAAATTTGCTTTATGGATCAGGGTGCATGTACTGGAGAAGGGTGGGTAAGGAATTGATAAAAGCAAAACTGGTCGGCAAAGAATTCTAGAAAGAAGGAAGCCAAATTAACAGAAGCAAGAAAGATGCCCATTCTTTGCAGAAGATGACAAGAGACAAGATTTAGCAGAGCATCCCTTCTCTCTCACATTCCACTGCTCTCAGTTCTGCCCATAAAAACAACTAGAATCTTACCGTCAATACCAAGAGCTTCTTGTTTCTTGTTCTCTGGACATGGTTCAAATTGATTGATAATTTCCAGACAATGATCCCTGGTTACATTGTGCATCTGAAAGCAAAGAGGAAGTGTTTAAAAAAAAATGCAGACTGAAACAAACCCATCCATGCAGGAAAGCTCTGCTTCCCCACTCTCACACTTCTGCAACTGGACTATGTTTTAGCTTTGCATGATATATTCTGCCCCCGCTTCCAATCTCCAATGAAATTCCCATTCCTGCCAGTCAATGTCAGCTTTGATTGGCATGGCTCTGTTTCATGTAAAAGATATGATTCCATCAACCCTCAGCAGATGGTTCTTAGCAGAATGCAAGCCGCAGCTTGGTTGGACCTTCCAGTCAGTTTTACTTGACGTACCTGGGGGGCAGGGGCGGGGGGCATCCAGCGGCACAACCCAGGGCCCCTGAGGCAAGATTGGCCAGTTCGATTGTCAGGAAATTATCTCTGCAAGCAGAAGTTCCAGACATAAACAAGAAGATGAAATAAAACTGATAATAACTGAGTGGGAATAACTGAGTCAAATTGCCCAGAGGGGGTCGATAGCTGTTATGATGAAAGCACCAGGGCAGAAGATAGTGGCCCTGGGGAAATTAGGTATGGGAAAAGCTTTAGATGATTTTAGGAGGATATACGGGGCTGTGCAGACATCAATTTCCCTTAAATCCAGGGTGGCCCCATCTGGAAGACTGTGCCCAGCTCTGGGTGCTGAAATTTAAGCAGGCTGTAGACAAACTGGAGCAACCCCAGGGTGGTAAGGTCTGTGGAGGACGGGTCCTACAAGGAGCAGTTGGAAGAGCCAAGCATCTTTGGATGCTGGAGAGAAATGGATGGAGCACTTTGCTGCTCTGGAGAGAGGGACTAAAACCAGCAGATGGACGTTGCCAGGAAGCAGATTTTAGGTGAACTTTGGGAGATGCTTCCTCAGGGTAAGAGCATGTCGGTGATCCAACAGAAAATTTAGCAAGTGGTGCAGCTCTCGGCAGAAGGTTAAGAGAAAGCTGGACGGCCATCTTTCAGGGATGCTGGACCTTCATCCTACTTTGCAGAGACTGGGCGAAAGGGGGAGTTGGACCAGAAGGAGCTCTTAAGGTCCCTTCCGACTCTGATTCAGTGATGATTAAGATGATGATGATGATGATGATGATGATGATGACGACGACGACATGAGGGGGCACATGAGCTCAGTCACAGACTTAATATCCCAGTGAGAACTGGGGGATTAAAAGGTGGTTGGAGCAGCAAAAGGGTTGGCTTAGGAAGGAGGAATGCTAACGGCTAAAGCTGGGTAGGAATTTCCATCGAGTTTGATAAGAATTGCCCCAAATTCAGCATGTTTTCCATATTCAGGACAAACATAATTTGAGACTGAAGAATCAGAATGTTTGCAGTCTGAAAGAGAATGGTGTTCCAAAGTCTGCATTCATCTCGGAAATGCAAAGGAGGCTGATTGGTTTAAAATGTGGATGAAGCGGGATTCTCCAGCGCACCCCGGCTGCAACTTGGAGGGTGCCGCATCGTTTCCAGGGCAGGCATGTGGGGTGGAAAAGCACGCACGCTTTCTCCCACCGCTTATGTACCAAACTATGCAGCAAGGGTTTATTTTCCACGCGACGTCGGGAGGATCGATAGTCCAGTGACACGGAAACCGATGCTAACTCGTTTAGAGGGGCACTGGGCACAAAGACAAGATTATCATCTGTGCAAAGGACATATTTGGAATCTTCAGCAGACCATGAAAGAGCAGATGGAGAGTTACTTAGGGAAAAAATCAGTGGGGGAAATTTATAGCAGAGAATTCCAAAACACTTACAGATACGCGCAGAAGAATACAAAGCACAACTGGAAGGAAGCACCAGCACTTCCATTGCTTGTTTTGTTTAGTTTGGGACGTGCTTTGCCTGTTCCGAGGTGAGGAAAAGGCTCTCTGAACATGCTCAGGGGCACTGTCATCAATTTAAAATTAATGGTGGAGCTGAACCTCTGCTTAAGTTATGTACTGAAGGTAGCTTCGCTTGCAAATAAGCATTTTCCTAATTGTCTTCTGAATTCAATCCTTTCGTGGTCCTGATCTTTCAAAGTTCAAGGGAAGGGAGAAGCCCTTGCATTTATACCAAAAACGTTCCTGCTCTGGTATGAGTGCATTGTCTACCTCCCGGCAGTAGTTAAACAGCAAAATAACTGGTACTCTTTTTATTGGAATCTGATTTATGCATTTAGAGGGCATGAAAAGACACAGAAGGGGGAGTTTGTGGGTATGTGTTTGGCATACACAACTTAAATTTTTGCCAGAGGCATAACACTCGTTTGCTTTTCATGAAAGCTTTGCACAAACCATCAGGAAACAAGATCTGGCTTCTTTCATCTGCGTCCTACATTGCCTGGGTATTAATGGCAGACACAAGAAAACTACGAGGCCTTCACAGTTTTGTCTCTGGTAACACGAAGAACATAAGCATTCATTTGGGAGCACAGAACAGACATTACAACGCAGAGTTACTGCCGCTTAATTGACACTGCATAAACAAGTCCAAGGCAGGCTGGAACCCAGGGTTTTATGAGGGAAAGAACCTTGTGGTGCTACGAATAAAAACAGGCCAACATGTTATAGAAAGATGCTTTTGTGATTTAATTATTCCACTTCGGCATGGCTCAATGTACTAAGGAAGTGCCCATTTAAACAGGGCCTGAGAGTGTCTAAGCAAGGCCAAGAGAAATCAACTTGGTCTTTGATACAGAAGGAAACATGTGGAGTTGCAAATTTGGTGACTGGTTGTGGGGGAGAGCGTGTTAATGGAATACCAACAGGGAATTCTTGTCCGGGTGAGATCAGGCAATGTATGTGAGAAAAACGGAGAGAAGTTCAGTAAGTATTCTTACAGCAATGAGGCTAGCCCAAGCAAAACTGGAAGAAATAGATTCATCAGCCACAGGTGATGAACTTGAATTTGCATTAAAATGCCTACCTAGGGACAGAATGCACTGAGAACACCAGGGACAAGGAATGAAACATAGGAAGTTCGAACTATCTAAGTGGTTCAGCCTTGCTTCCAACATGAAAATGAGCTCAGAGCTCACCAACGAATGCACAGGTGAGCTAACCTTGCTGGATGATGCTACAGGACAGGTATATACCGTGGGAGCCCATTGGACCTGGGAGATTCTACTTTTAGCCTCCACTCGGGCATGGAGCTCCCTGGGTGGCCTTGGGCCAGCGACTCACTTCCAGCCTAGCCTACCTCACTGAGTTGTTGTGAGCATCAAAATGGAGCGGGAGGACTTGCAAGGATATAAATGCAATGTGATAATGGACTGCGGGATAATCTTTTCCTTTCCAGAATAATGAGAGCTTTCTCTCAGGCTGTTTCCTTGTTCTACATAAGATGCCGATTTCTTCCATTTTCTAAAGGATACGGAGTATGATTGAGTGTGCAATTGATGTTGCCTTATCTTGCATTATATTCTTGTAGAAGAAAGACACCAATAAGTGTTTTTTTTTCTTGCCTGTGTCTCTCTCCTGTCTTTCACATCATGAGAGCATTCTTTATATTTTAAGAGTTTCTAAGTGTGCATTTGTATTGGAAGCAGAGGAAACACACACACACACACAGGCCACCTGCACACAAGGCTGCAGCAAAAGGTCAAAGGGGTGTCGAACTGAAATATGCATCCTACACACGTACCAACTCAGACACATCACAAGTGTGACAAATTATCTGGATTTCATGTTAAAATTAAGGCCATCATTAGGTTTTTGAGCCAGAATGAAAGGCCTGCAACAGAAAGCACAGGTCCAAAATAGCAAAGGAACAGGTTACTGCTGTCTTTGGGGCAAGCTGCAACATTTGGGCAACCCCAAGAAGCAGAGTGAGTCTAAGAAAGGGAGTTACAGAAATCTTTGCTTCTAAAGAGAGGAGACTTCCCCCCATCTTCAGGATTTTTCCCAGAAGCAGCGCAGACTTCCAGAAGCTGAGTGCTTAATATCACTTGTACCGATCGTCTTCACTGTTGAGAATTACGTTTGGCGCATCTCAGGGAGGGAATTAATACTTTAGATGACCAGGTCAAAGAGGAGGAGGGTGATTAAAGGGTGGTAGAAGCCCAATGAGCTGCCAAACGCAGACCATGACAGCCAGCAGGGATGAAACTCAGCATGCATGCTTCCTTTTGCCGTCGACCACTGTGGCAACGATGCCACTGGCAGGCAGAACGAGGTCTCTAGCTGGGCTTGGCATGCTGAGAGTAAGCAAAGGCAAAGCCTTCCCAAAGTCTCCATAAACAAATAGTGTATTAGCAAGGATTTGCTGGTACAAAAGTTGCAGGTGAGGAGACGGCAAGGAAAAGTTGCCTGGCACATGTAAAAAGGAACACATTTCTTAAGGAATAAGCTTTTGTGGACTAGGGTTCTCTTCAAGAGATGCAAGATGTGCTTTCCTAAGTTGGCAGGTATGTATACACACAGGATTTCAGGATATGAGATATACACTTGCAATGGAGAGCCAGTGTTACCTAGTGGTTAGAGTGTCGGGCTAGGACTTGGAGATCTGGGTTCTAGTCCTTCCTCAGCCAAACAGCTCACTGACTTTGATCAATCACTAAATCTCAGGCTAGCCTACCTCACAGGATTGTTGTTGTGAAGGTTTATGGCATGATAAACAGGCTAGCATTTAAATATGACCGCACTTTTTGCTGTTTTTGCCGCAACTGACAAAGACATCCACCCCTCAGGAGAAAACGAGCAAAAAGATTTGTCTCCCAAAGCAAAATAGGAGGTTTTGCATTTGAAAACTTCATCAGTGCTGGCTCCCTTCCCCACATCCCACAAAGCAAATCCTTCTTTCTCCATCCACTGCCCAGGCTGTTACCAGGTAGTATAAAATATGAGCAAGATTTCTTGCAACAGAAAGGAAAGGAAAGGAAAGGAAGGGAAGGGAAGGGAAGGGAAGGGAAGGGAAGGGAAGGGAAGGGAAGGGAAGAGAAGAGAAGAGAAGAGAAGAGAAGAGAAGAGAAGAGAAGAGAAGAGAAGAGAAGAGAAGAGAGAAACCCTCAAGATGATTTATACGGTTGTCTGCTAACGCTTGGACCAGTTCCCAGATTGTCAGCGAGGTGACCTTCTTTTCACAGGAGTCATCCCACTTCAATATGCATTTTCATAGAGGCAAAATCAAACTGAGGATGGAGCAGACCTTTCAAAGGTCATTTTCAAGTGTGGTTGTTGCCAGCCGTCTGGTCCGCCGCATCCCTCTGCCAAAAGGAAGCTATGCGCTGACGTACCTGCCTTGCAAAAAGGGTCTCCCAGCCTTCCCAACCAGGGACAGGCTGGGAAGCAGAGGAGAGATGTGAACTGGATCAGGTTTTTGACCAGGAGAGCTCAGGCCGGGCAGACAGGACATCAGGGCCACTCGGGAGTTCTCGGAGCTAGTTATGTATTATTTTGAATTATATTAGGCTGTTTTGAAGGGTGAACGCATGAGAGCCGGTGTGGTGTGGAGGTTTGGGTGCTGAACTGAGGACCTGGGAGATCTGGGTTCAATGAAGCTCACTGGTAACTTTGGGCCGGCCCAACCTACCTTGCAAGGTTGTTGTGAGGATAAAGCAGAGACATGCGAGCCACCTTGGGCTCCTCACAAGAGGAAAAGGGGCATTACATTATATAAATACCATATAAAGTAATATTGACAACGACAACACCCTCTCAAAGCAACACGCAACCCAAAGCCGCACAGCACAGATATTATAAAATTCAAGGCACGTATATTCATTAAATTGGGTAGTCAGGAAAAAAGAGGACATGCATTGCCAAAAAAGAAGGCAGAAAACAACATAGGGATGCAGGAAAATGGCACATGCTATTTCATAGCTATAGATGCAATTGAGAAAAGATGGCAGTAACTTATACAGAAGGGCAGTGCCTCTTGGCGAAGGGAGAAAGGCTGAGCAGAAACTCGGTGTGTTTGTGGCCCGGGCTGCTGATACAACTCTTGATGGGCAATTTCCAAGGGCTCTGGACTGCCCCCTTTTAAGGTTTTTAGGGTTCTGTCTCTTGAAATCTGACTCGCACTGGGAAGCCCTTCAAAGAGAGACACCTTCGACTAGAAAACCGTTCCCTGTAAAGCCAGACACCTCGTCTTTCTACCAACAAAAGTTAAATTCAAAAAAAGTGTTGGCTCTTCTCCAAACCTCCCTCAGCAACCATTCCTTCAGGCTATGGCAGGCTTTCTGTTCTCCTCGCCCTGTCCCTTTTTTCCTCTTCCATCAAGCCTTTTCGAGGCCTGACACAAAGAATGCATTATTTTTATTGATCTCCAAGTTGCTGTAGGCAAGCTTGGTGAAGAGCGACAGGCTATAAATGCTGTGAAGACGCGTTACAGTGAAGGCATCCCCACAGCTTGCCAAACCGCCCACCTGCCAATGGGGTGGTGTTCTTCCTAGCCCTTTTTCGTACGGGACTGCGGGGAGTCATTAAGCAAAGGGGACGGATGGAGCCAAAAGGAAGCAAGGAGCAAGCAAGCAAACCCAAACTGGTCAAAGCCGCGGCCTCAAAGAACGGGACTGGAGATTTCACCTAGAGATCAGACGGGCTTTTCAGACAGTGCCATGACCAATGTGGAACTGGGACAGAGCGGCTCCGAGGGGCTCAGCTTTCCTAGGAATGGAGGAGCAGCGAAATCTGCACTGCGAAATGCTCCAGCAACGAAGAGGCCAGCGAAGGAGTGCGTTCTGCATAAATGCCAGAGCGCCAGCGTGGCAAGGGGGTTAAGCGGACTGAACTGGGCACCTGGGAACTTCAGTTTCTCGTCTCCAGTCAACCCTGAAAGTACCTGGTTGACTCTCAGTCTAGCCTACTCCACAGGGTTGTTGTGAGGATAAAAATGGAGTGTGGGAGGACTAGGTAAGCCCTCTTGGGTTCCTTGCAAAGGTAGAAAGCTGAGCTATGATCTGAATTATTATATTATTACTTCCTTGTTATTAATTATATCACTATAATCAAACCATTAATATTATAATTAATGTTGTTATTGATTATTAGTAATAAGTGACAGTATTAATTATGGTTACTATATCATTAAAATCATTGTATAAGTTGTATCATTATATTAATTAATAGATCATTGTTATTTTTATTATTATTACAGACAAGGGTTGGACTAAATGACCCTTAGAAAGGCCTTCCAGCTCCTTCGGCTCAGTGACCGACGCGGCACATGCGCACCCAGCTGAAGACGGCAGCGTCTGCCTGGCGCTGTGCTTCTCCTTGGGCTCCCGCGGCTGCTCCTGCTGCCTACCTTTTGCTCCGTGTCCAGGAAGCGCTTCAAGTCGTCCACGTCCAGGTAGTCCTTGTGGTTGCTGTAGGTGAGCATCAGCAGGTACAGGTCCCGGCGGGTGGACATCATCTTGTAGAAGGCGCAGAACTCTTCGAAGTCCAGCGTGCCCTGGTTGTCGTCCGTGTCTGCTTCCTGCGGGCAGAGAGACGCGAGGCATTGAGTGGGTGCTTTGTCGCCCGGAGGAACACCAGGGACGGAGCATCCCAAGGGAGTGCTCAGGAAGGAGAATCCGAGATCAGCCCCCAGGGTGGATGGCTGAAATACACGCGACTGGCAGCGCAGCTGAACGGAAAATGGCGGTACATTCACCACCCCCTTTGAAGGCAGTGCTTCTGAGGCCCTTTCTCTTTTTCAGAGGTGCTGAAAAGTCTGCAGAAATTCTTGCCAGCAGCTCTGTTGGATTCCACAATATCTCTCCGCACGCATGTACCCCATAACTCCATGGAAGCAGCACTGTTCCTTGGCATGGGGAGGGGGGACGGGGCTGTGACTGCGGGTGCCATTTCCCCACCACCGCCAGTGGCATTTGGAGTGGAGGGGGGCAGGATGGCTGCGAGGAGGCAACCAGCGAGGAGATCTCCAGTGCAGTCTTTGTAAATATTTCAAATACGTATGTGAAGCGCCCACCATTGAAACTCAAATGTGGTTCTCGCCCTGCTTGTTTCAGTCTGGGCTGCAAAGAACCCGGGCTAGAAACCGCCCTGTGCTCTGGAACTCTTCACCCCTTGAGTTTTCATGCCTCCAGGCTAGTGGGGTTTAACCAGTGGAGAGGAGAAGGCTCTCTGCACATGCTCAATTACCTGCTTTTTGTCTACTGTTAACCTCGTGGCTTTCCCACACAGGCTCTGGAGAACCCCTATCCGTCCTCACAGGAGGAACACCCAGACTTCCTGAATGCTTTCATCTTGCTTCTCTTTGGTCACAACCCTGATTGAAACGGCGCCCATTCATTGGCTGGAGGTCTAATTCTGTCCCCTTCATCAAAGAAGGAATATTTTCCCATTATGGTATTTCCTAATCACCCCTTTGATGTTTCCACTGGGGCCAGAACTATTGTGATGAGAAGCTAATCTTCCCAAGGCTTCCTGGACCGCAAAGGCAGCCCCCTTCTTAATCAAACTTCATTACAATGCCAGAACAGCCTCAAATTCAGTTTTGGCTGTATAAATACACAACGCAAATCAATGGGCATTAATGGATTTCTCATTACATCCTTTAATGTAGCATTTGCTACTGCTATGAAGGCTTTCTTTTCATCTTCCCACTGATCATTGATCCGCTGTCTTTGACTGCAAAACATCCGATTCTGTTTCCAATTTCGCCATTATGCAAAGCTTCACACTCCATTAGCATCCGCCGGCATTTAAGAGCAAGCGACCCAACGTGGCAAAGCTTTCTGAAGTCTCCTAGAATACACAGGAGCTCACACACTTACGTAACTAACAAGCAGCGTCCAGAGCAGAAGGTGCCTGTTACCTCTCTGACGGCACTTGCCTGAATTCTGCACCAGCAAAGTAACGGGGAGGTTTGCTGAATAATCAGTTCAAAAGTCACACTATGTAAGGTCAGATAGAGACAAGGCAGCCAGTGTGGTGTCGTGGTTAAGAGCGCAGGACTGCGATGCCAGAGATATGAGTTCTAGTCCCCACTTAGCCATAAACTCATGGGGTGACTTTGGGCCAGTCAGACTTGCGGCCCAGCCTACCTCAAAGGGTTGTTGTTGTGGGGATCAGATGGAGAACAGCAGGAGAAGAATGATGTGAGCAACCTTAAGTTCCTTGAAAGGAAAAAAGGTGGGGGATAAATAAATTCATGAATAAAGCCATCCATGCGCAATAATTTCCTGGTATAGTCAGCCTGATAGAGATTTCAGGAAGGGAGGTGGCATTTTTTTCAGTACTTGGCCTCCCAGAAGCACTAGCATCTGGGCAACAGGCCAAATGGGCTGTCTTCCACATGATGGCAAGACAGAGTATATTTCTATTTAAATTATAATAATCTCCAAAGGCACCTCCCTATAGCTCAATTATCATTTGCAAAATTTATTATCATTGCATTGCATTTCTATTCGTCCTCTTGCAAGGAAACCAAAGTGGACTGCATAGGATTCCTCCACTCCATGCCATTTTATCCTCACAACACCAACCTTGTGAGGTAGGTTAGGCCGAGAGGAAGTGGCAGTCAAAACCCAGATCTCCTGATTCCCTATGAAAGCTTATTCTTTCACAGCCACACATTGGTACCCAAACTCAACCCTGTCATAATCTCTGGCAGCTCTTAGTTATACTCAGACCATGTCCCCATCGCCTTCTTCCTGCCCAGTTTCCGTTCCAGGTTTGAGATGCTTGGCTGGCATACAAGACCATGTCTTCTGGACTTTTCATTCGAAGATTTTACCCGAGGCAGAATGTGTCAGCCATGTCTATTCACACATTAATCTGTCATCAAAGCAAAGCAGTGACAGATGGCGAATATTAGAAAATAGGAAACATGTTCTGTTTTCTCCACTTGGGGCAAGCAGTGGAGACGTGCTTTTTAGGACTGGGCCGAAATTCTGTTGTCCCCTGCAAAAGCTAAGTATGGGGTCCGCTGGGGGATTTGGAGGACTCAGCCAAAATTCGGAAGAGGGCCAAAATCCAGTAATTCATCTAACTCACTACTTTCCATCGCAAGCTGTCCAAGGTCTTGGGCAGGACACTTGCTGGCATACCGTGAAGATCCCGAGAACTCTGGGACTTCCTGCATGCAGAGCAGGTCTCTCCCGCTGCTGCTTCTCCTCACCCCTGGCAAATTAGCAACTGGCTCTGTGCAAAGTGCACGGTGGAGTTTCTCAACTTGGTGCTTCCTGCCCGCCTCCTTATTTTCCAGTCAACAGTACTGGGTTGGCCCAACTGTCCCTCACTTTGTAGACAGACCTAAGCAGAACGTGCCATCATGCCTTTCTGGGCAGGAAACGGACTGAAGGCCAGAGTTCAGCACCTGGGACAGCGGACCCCAGTGAATAAGGAGGGCATCTCAAGTCCATTCTCGCTCACTCCTCCCTCAAGGCTGGACAACTCTGGCTGGAGGAGCAGTGCAGGGCCCTGATCAAGCCACTGGTGTGTCTGCTGAGCCTGGAACCAGCTCCCCATCAGCCCAGTCCAAAGCCTCTCTCTTTTAGGAACTGCAACTGTCCCGCCAGGTGAACTACTGAAAGGCAAGTATCAGCTTCTCCACGAAAACCTGCAGGAGCCTGGACTGTCTTCATGCGCCTAGGCCATTGAACCTGCTGGCCAGACAGAGTGGAAGAGGGATCCCTGTTTCAGTGGAGCCCGGCTGGAGCAGCCAAGTTTTCCAGAACTCCGGAAGAGTTCCTATATCCTTGCCTAGTTTTCTGTCTTGTTTCCTGACCCCACGTCCTGACTACTGACTTGCCGCATGGCTCCTGGATCCAGCTGCAAGCTCAACTCAGCCTGTGGCCGGCATCGCAACCCTGACATTCCTACTGCCTTGGAGTCGATTCTGAGCCCTTCCATTCCATGCCAGGCCGTTCTTCTGCTCTCCATGCCAGGGGCTTCTTTCACCCAGGCCAGCACACAGAGGAATATACGCCAGTTGATTCCAACACACTTGATTGTAAGTAACTGCAATTGTACCAGTAGGTGCGCATGTGAACTGTCTCCTAGAAGAAGCTCTTTTGCAATACTCTTCTAGCCTCCTTCCTGACTTTGACTTCAGGTGTTTGAGATGCCCTGAAGAGACAGTCTAACTTTTGCCTGTGCTGCTGCACCTGTGCCGGAGTATCCACATATGTAGGACATCCCAGGTGCACCAAAAGACGATGAATGCAAATAGATTCCAACAGACAGCAGCTCTCTGGACCCTTGTTGGGGTGTCTTTCTTTCAAATGTCATCCAACATAATTTTATTAGGGAATCTGGAAAGCTTCTGCATTCACAGCTGCTCTAAACTGAGGCATGGTCGTTCCGTAAGTTTCAAGGTTTCTCGCAGTTTCAAAGCCTTTCTGTTCATCTGTGCTCAGGTGAATCACCTCATTTCAATAATGTGGGAACACTCTCAGTTTTGGTTGCTAAGGGGTGTGCAGTCAAAGCAAAGCAGGGAGGTCAAAAACAATGGAAACGCAACCCACCCTAGCATTAAATACAGATGACTTTCGAATAATGAGCTGCCTCTTGTTTTCATCAAATCAGACAAGAGAATTAATGAAAGAGTGAAGAATTAAAGAGTTGTGCAGCGCATCCAATGGGTTTTTCTGTTTTTGTTTTTTCAATCCAGGCATAAGCAGGGCTGAAAGACAGTCTATTAATTAAACTTCAATTAATAACCACCGTTCAACCGAATTAAAGGATGCATTATAGAGCTCAATTTAAAGGTGACTTGCTTGAAAACTCATCATTCATTTCTGCCACCCTTTCATGTGGTTTATTTTGCTGGATGGCCAGCAAAAGAAGGCCAGAAACTCCTAATATGGCTTCATCCACACAGCGGACGCACCATATAGATCCTAATGGCCCATGAGAGTTATGGGGACACAGAATGCTCCCTTGAGCCAAGCCAGATCATGGGCTCACCTGGATCAATACTGCCCACACGGGCTGATGGCAGTCCTCCAGGGTCCCAGACAGGAGCCTGTGGAAGATGCTGGAGGTGGAACCTTTGTGTGCAACATATAAGGTCCACCACTCACCAGTGCTCTTTCCCTTAAGATAAAGACATTTGCCTTGCAGACGTCAACCTCTTGCGCCATGTAGACTGGTACTGCTGGCACTGACTGGCAGCTGCTCTCCAGGGTTCTTTCCCAGCCCCTCCTGGAGATGCTGGGTTTGAAGTGGAGACATTCTCCATGCAACACTGGTGAATTCCAGATTTATTGGTCTACATTTCATTCCTCCTGGAGTCTGGGATTCCCAGGGCCTTTCTAAAATTAATTCCAGCCTTGCACAGTAGGTCTCAGCTTGCAGTTCCTTCACTTGATACGGATCTTCTCACACTTGTCTCTGGCTACCGGTATGGAATTGTATGCATGAGGGCATTAAGATACAATGGGAGAGGCCACTGTGTGTGTTTGGGTGTTCAGGCACACAGGGACCCACTGTCCACGCGATATTAATCTGCTTGCTTTTCCTTCACAGCCCGGAGAGCTTCAGCTCCAAACTGGCCCCCACCCTGGCTTCTCTGAGGTGTCTCTGGAGCCCAGCCAAATGTAGACATTCTCTATGGTTGAGCACTTGTAAGATGCGCTCAACTGGAGCATGGAGAACATTATAGTTGAGTGACTTTGCCACGTCTGGGGAAAGGGGTGGAGACAGAGGGAGAGAAGAGGAATCATACGCACTGGAAAAGTCTCTGACGCATGATGAAGGCCAAGCAGACTTCCCGAACTTTTCTTTAGAGATGCTTTCCCTCAACATCTTGGGAGATGTTGGTGACATCTTCTGAACTCAAGGCAGATGGAGAGACGGGTGGAAGGTCTCACGATCAACCAACAGGACTACATAAGAGCTGGCAGAAGAAAGATGGTGGCACTTTCCCAACATTTCCTTTCCAAATTGTCCTTTTACAGCTCTCTAATACAAGAGGACACTCGGAACTTTCTCTTTTTGTGGAGGTCCCAATCCAGAGGGATGTTGCTGGGCAGACAAATCTGCATTTCATCCCCCCCCCCTTCTTTTGGTTCCAAGCTGCCATTTTGCTCATTCCCACACATGGATTTTTAAAACCTCAAATCATTTCTCTTCTGAATACAAAGTTTGTGATTCAGGGGAAATTTAGAGCCAGTGTTGTATAGTGGTTAAGACTGCCAGGCTGGTGGGGGGGGGGGGCTGGGGTTCGAGTCTCCACTCAGCCACGAAACTCACTGGGTGACCTTCAGCCAGGCACGGACTCTCAGCCAAACCCACCTTGCAGGGTTGCTGTGGCGAGGACAAAATTGGGAGGAGGGGGTCCGATAAGTTGTCTTGGGCTCCTTGTAGGACGGAGATAGGCGGGGTATAAATGTAATGTTTTTGCAGTTGTAGTAGCAGTGAGAAATAATTCCTGTCAAACAGGAACTGAAGCAAATTTGTGCAAATCTGCTAAAGCTGTGGAAGCCCTGTGGGTTGAACACTTACATGTACGAACACACTAGTCATTTAAACTAGTGTGGTTAGAGGCGAAAGTCCATGAGAAGTCTTAATTTTCACCACAGCAAGCAAGCATCAGCGCAAAGCCGGCAAACCAGAAAGCAGGGTGCAGAATTATGAAAATCCATAGGATAATCACCCCCTGTTGGATTCCTTACACACCCCTATCTGTACCTCTAATAAGCTCTAGGAATGGGACAAAAAGAAAAACACAAGTGCCAAGAAAGAGCAATTGAAGCTGCATTTTTAAAGGCAAGTAAGCAATTGGAAAGGATCATTAAAGCAATTCTGGAAAGAAAGAAAAAATCCTACCATTTAAGGTAAGTCCTTCTCCTTCAGCTCTCAGGAAATACATTATACAGAGAGGAAGAGAGAATACAGACTTCCTGAAGGCAGAGCATCCTTGAATTACCTGGGCAAAGGATGCCAAATTCAGGCCTTTCGGGAAGGAAACGAAACCTTAGAGCTGCTGCCAGATTCCGCTGATGCGAAGGAACCGTTTTCAAAGTCAGAGGCAAACTTCACAAGCCACGCACGCATCTGCCTACCACAAAGCCACACCGACTGAATTCCCAGCAGCCTTGCGAAGTACACAACGAGACATTTGAATAGCGCCGTGCATTGGCGATGTCACTTTAATCTTTTCCCCCACTCAATTATAAAATAGGTCAGAGCCAACACGCAGAAGAAAGCTTCGGAAACTGCTTCTGTAGGCCTGACGCAGGTTTCCAGTACAGGACACATCTTCATGACGGGCACAATTAGTACAGCAAATGTACTCCAAGAGACAGCTCTTTGGCACATCCTTGCAACGCACAGGAAAAATCCAGGACTTCCAGAGGATGTAACATACAACCTGGTGCAATGAACGCATCCCACCCCACCCCCCACCACACACACACACACACACACACACACACACCACACAATGAACTTGGCCGAAAGCTCTGCAGAAAGCAGAGGTCCTGCACAGCTGTTCACAGCTGGAAAGATCCAGGGAAAGGGGATTCATGTCCAGATCAGATTCAACAAAACAGAAGGAATGAAAAGGAACATCCACGTGCATCAGCAGTGTTCACTTGTGAAGGAACGCAACACACTGCTTTAACATGCTTGTCAATACACATCCACCCTTCTGGCCAGTGAGTGGCCAGTTGGGAGGGTTTGGGTGTTTCTGTGATAAAAGGTTTGTTTACACAGATACGCGGGCTGAGCCTAAGCTGGGAGATGAGAGCTTTCGTGTTCCACAAGCTGGAACTTCTTCCATATTTGCCCTCCCGCCCCTTGAGATCGGCAGCAGAGGCCCTCCTCCGGGAGCCCTCCGTGAGAGACATCAGGAGGGTGAGTACCCGGAGGAGGGCCTTCTCTGCGGTGGCACCCCAACTGTGGAATGCACTCCCCAAAGAGGGCCGCCTGGCGCCGTCGTGATTTGTTTTTCGGTGCCAGGCTAAGACCTTTTTATTCCAGCGGTATTTTAATAAGTTTTAATATTGTCTTTTCTATGTTTTTAACTGCAGCCAGTGTGGGACAGGAATTTATTTATGTTATATTTCATGCTGTAAGCCGTCCTGAGGCTTTTTGCGAACAGGACGGCATATAAATATTTTAAATAAATACATACACACACACACACACTGGATAGGTTTGTTTAAAACAAGACAAAGTGACATGAGCTGGGAAGGAACTGCTTCCAGCCCACTGGCTTCCTCTCCCACCATGATGGGAGGACCCTACAAAAAGTTGCCTGGGGTGAGGGAGAGTTCCAAGTCGAACGGCCTGTCCATGGGGGTGATGCTTCGAGGGGCCCATTTCCCAGCAGCAGAAGGAAGCAGCGATGGAGGTGGGAGCAAAGACGGGTCCAGAGGCAGAGGATGCGATCTACCAAGAACTGCTAAGCATGGGAGAGACGGTGTTCACGGCAGTGCTGACACGTAGTTGTGGGCTCTCCCAAAACAGAGGCATCCAAGATGTAGCTCCCAGCCACCCATTCACGATGCTTCAGCAGGGAGTCCCCCTTCAGCTCCATTTCTATGATTCTAGGGGGGGTCCCTTTGGCTGCCCAAGTCAACGCCTTTCTGGACAGGATGAGTGCACTGTGGACCTGAAAGGATCTGGCCATCCAGCTCCTCCACCTAGAAGTTGCCCAGGCACCAAGAATAAGCCACGTCAGCCCATTCTCTAAGCCCGCAAGCATCTCACTGCAGGCAAACAAAGGCCTGGAGACCTGAGGGGAAAGCAGCTTGACAAATACCTGCCAGAGCCAGCAACTGCCTTCCTGATGTTTTGGACTAAACTCCAGTAAATCCACCCAGAACAGCCAAGGTCCAGGGTTCTGGCAGCTGTAGCCCAAAACATCTGGAGAGCACCAGACGGCCTACCTTCATAGAAGTCATTTCCAGCGTGAACATTTGGTCTCGTGGCACACGATGCCTGGGAGAATCTGCAAGGGGATTTTGCATCACGGCTGAGCAACCAGGGTTTCTTTCCAGGCACCTTTAAGGCTGATCATGACTCATTTATAGAAGAGGAGGAATGGAATCTGTGGGGAAAAATTAGCTACTCTTCTCAAATTTCTTTCTTTCTTTCTCTGCACTTTAGCACTCCTCGACATCCAACTGAGGAGAAAACTACAAGACTCTGTCTGTGCTTCCTATGAGGCAGAGGTTTGGTGGCGATCCTAGAAACGAACTCCCTTCAAGGGGATGCTGGAGCCTGGGAATGAAGGTTCCAGCCATTGTGGTCCTGTGGGAGTTGTGTGACTCACACACAAATGTGCAATAATGATACTTGTTGATAAGAACAGTGTGGGAGATGCCAGAGATGGGAGGGCAAGCCAGACCCTGAGCTCTCAGGGAAGTGTCTCTGTTGAGGTCGATCACCCCAGAGAGTCTGTTTGCCTCACTCCGTGCAGCAGTGACCACCGCGCATTACCTTGAACATCTGCTTGACTTTCTGTCTGGGCAGGTTGACGTTCAGCTTGTGCATCAGCTGGAGCACTTCATTAATGCTCAGGCTGCCATCACCGTTTTTATCCGCTTCGTCAAAGGTTTGCTTCAACCACATTGAGCGCGAGTCAAGGAAAGAGAAGGGAAAACTCTCCAAGACCGAGCAAAAGGGAGGCAGCTCAGAACCGCACAAGGACTCCTTCCCCCGCAACTCCAAAACAATAAGCACTCACAGAAAGAGGGCGTTTGGAAGGCCACCTACAGGCTATAAAGCGCGTCCTCTTCTCAATCATTGGTCCCCTTTTTCTAGTGCTGTGCATGTCTCCCCACGACCTTTGGCAGAGGGAAGAGCCTCCTCCTGCCTTCATATCTGAAACCATTCGCTGGAGGTGGTGGGGACTGGAGCTTGCGTCTCCCTATGGGAGGGATAAGGAGCAGGTGTTCCACTACTACTTCCAAGCACTGATCAGAGATAACAGTGGGATTCTTCTCCACCCTGACCCTGGAGAGGGAAGGCTTGGGGTGGGCCCTAGCCAAAGCACTGCTAGCTAGGTGGGCTCACCTGGGAGGCTAAATTTAGCCAAATTCAGTTCTTTGTCCCTCACTTGTTCTGAGGGGAAATCCAGGAAAGACACATGGGCAAGGAGCAAGAGCTACTGCCTGTGTTGGCCATTCCTCGGGCCAGTGGCATGGGCCGGGGCCAGAGGAAGAGGAAGAGGGCAAGCCAAGGGGCAGCTGCAGTGGAAGCGAGGATGAGACACATGGGCACTGCATCCTCCCGCATCTCAGGAAGGATATTGGTCTCTCGTCCTCTGCCGTTTCGACAGGCTGTCTTCGTCGCTGATCCCAGCCATCAGGTACTTGAGACCGGTGATCCACGTCCGGGCCTCCTCTCCACTGGATGACACCAAGTCAAGAGACTCCATGTGGTCCCCATAGTAGATGCTGAAGCAGCAGTTGGGATCAAAGCTGCCATCGGCGTAGCGCTGGAAGATCTCTGACTGTTTCCCTTCGCACACCTCCTGGATCGAATCTATAGAGACTGGGAAAAAAGGGGGAGACGAAAATAAGGAGGTGTAAGAGGGGCTTCCCAGCAACCAGGAAGTTGCTTCAGCTTTCAATACAAAGCTGAAGATTAAGCAGCTTAAAATGTTAAGCATGTGCTCTAAAACTTAGGAATAATGAGAAAAATAGAGGGTGATATTGACTAAGAAAAACTTGGAGGAGCGGTCCCATCGTCGGGTGTTGTGTGGTGTATGAAACACACACTAGGCAAATGTTTAGCTCATGCACAGGATGCCGTGCAACAGCAGAGCATCCCAAGAGCACATGCTGGATGAATCCACCCCATGGTGATCAAGGCAGCTCCGTCCAGAGAACCTGGACCTCCTCGTCTATATGAAGCACCTCCTCTTCCTCATGCAGAATACCTGGGCCATGCACGTGAATACACTAACCTGCCACCAGAGGGCCACCCCTTGTGAACGCAATGAAGTTCACTGTGGTTCATGGAATACATATGCCAAAATAAAAGTTTGGTTGACCTTTCGGGTGCCACTAAGTTCTTGTTAAAACATTGGTGCATCTAGTCCTTGACAGGCAGTGGCTCCCGAGAATTTCGGGGAGCAGCCTTTCCGGCCCCTACAAGCAGATGCCACCCCTTGCATTTGGAACCTTTGGCATGCAGAGTCTGCCACTTTCTCCCTGAGCTAGGGCTCCACCTGGTGTCGCCAGGCAGTTCTGCAAAGCAGGCCTCTTCAATGGTACTTAGAAGCAGAAACATGCCCCATGGAGCAGCCGGGGCTTTCCCCTCTTGTTTCTGCTTTAAACTGAGATCATGCAGACTTCGCTCAGTTTATTGTGGGCTTAAAATAGGTGTGGGAAACCTGCAGCCTTCTAGACACTGTTGGACTACAACACCCATGATCCTTGGGCACTGGCCATGCTAACTGGAGCAAATGCAAGTTAAGAGTCTGGGGGTCCACAGGCTGCCACTCCTGACTTTAAAACCCTCAAATTCAAGACATGTTCTGCGTCCAGGTTTCTAAGGCTTGCATCGTTCAAATGCAATCGCAAAACTTTCCTCTTACAAATATGACCACATGAAGCTGCCATTTGCCAAATGAGGCCACTGTTCCTTCTAATTCAGCATTGCATGGATTTTATTAAATCTGTTCCATTCATAGTTCATAGATTGTCGAGTGGCACTTGTTCCTTGTCCAGTAATTGATGGGATTGGGTGTCTTCAGGGACCATGAGAATGCTGTCCCATTTGTGGAACTGTGCATCAGCAGTAACACAAATTAACCCAAGCACAAACTTGCACAAATCCCCCCCACCCCCAACCCTGAAGTTAAAAAAATAAAATCTGCAGAAGCCATGTGTCTCAGAAAAAGGTGTTCTGATGCCGAATCGGCAAGTCAGGTTCACAGAAATGCAAACGCGTTTGAGTTTCCCATGCACTCCTCCAGCGTTCCAAACAGGGTGTCTGCAGAGGGTTCCCCAGTGTGGAGCCTGTCGGCACTCATTTTTCTTCTATTATCTACTTTTTAATATTTATGTTGTGATTTATTAGATTTACATGCCACCTTTTCCTGTTAAAGAACTCAAAAGGTCTTACATCTTTCTCCTCTGCCTCTCCTGTAATATATGCATACATGAACTTGCACGAAATGTATACAGTTTTCTAGAAATTATAGGTATTAGCAAAGGCTGACCAAATAGCCAAATAAGTATCCATTTGAAGATATGCTTCGTATGCCAGCCATTCAAAAAAAGTGTTTTAAGATATTCAGTCCATTGCACGGATGAGTGGTTATCCTTTCAGGGTTATAATATCAGTCTTTTAGCTGTCCAAAGGGAGTGGAGAAGTATTTTCTCTGACCATTTGCTAATTTCCATGAGGCAGGTAAATAATTTAAAGGTGTGCATGCATCTGTGAATATTAAAAACTGTTTTGCTACACAATGTATTGGTGTAATATCCTTCCCCCTCCACACACACACACAACTACCAGACATTGCTGATATATATTGCTTAAAGGAAGCAGTAGCTGAACTGAGTTGCCAGCAGTTAACTGAAAACATAATCCCTTATTAAAGAGACACTGCAGAAATGCCCAGCAGAAGCGAAACAATGGTTTTTACTGAACAAGGCACAGCCTAAGATCCAACGACACAACAAGCAGATGTCGAAGTGGTGAGCCACTGATAAAGCATTTTGTGGTGGCACCCACAGCAGTTTTTCTAATTCCCAGCTTTCCTATGAACTCCCCTTCCGAGAAGCCTTACATGGGCTCAGGCTGTTTGGTCTAATCTGGTTAGCAACACATCCCCAAGGAACCTTCTGTTCCTCTTGGTGGCCACAGGCAGACGTGGGTTCCAGCAGAATGTTGTGTTCAGAGGCAAGCGATCCAGCTCAAGGCACCACCCCGGACAACTGCATGCACTGGAAGAGCAAGGTCGAATCACACCCAGGGAGGTGGGCAGGGAAGGCCCGCAGGCATCGTCTTCCAGGACCCTGGACAGATGCATGCTAGTGGGAACCTCTCAGGGAGAGTCTGGTCCCACCGCTGCTGGAGATGAACAGAGCTACCGCCTCCAGCCTGGGACATCCTCAGGTGGCAGAGGACGTGTTCCTGAATGAAGACTACTCCTGAACCAAGTCTTTCCTCTGAGCCACAGGGGAGACCGAGGCTGGAGAGCGTGAGAGCCTGTGGACTCATTCACTGAACATGGGAGCCTGACCTCGGATTCATGACAGATCTCAGCTGGAGAAAGAGCCTCCACAGCCTGCTCCTCCCAGTCTTCTGAAGGAGGAGAGGCTGGGACTGAACCTCAGTGCTCTCTTCAAAGGTCTGTCTTTAAGGTGAACTGCTAAAGTGCTTCAAATGCGTCTTTGAAAACATGAATATACAGGTTTGGTTCTGGATTCCTGCTCAGCTGACCCCCAGTGACAAACCTAGGTTTGCACCTGTACACTCTGTGGGTGCACATGCATGCAGAGGGGGGGGGGAGAGAGGGACGGGACGGGGAGGGGAGAGAGCGAGAGAGAGAAAGACCAATTCCCATCCCCAAGCCAGATTCCTTCTTCAGGCAAGTCACCCTCCATGGGTCCCCTGCCCTCCACAAAGCTGCTTTCTCACTGTACCCACATTTGTGTTTGGAGCTTTGAATGGGGCCTGTTAAATGAAATAGTCCTACATCCCTGGCTGGATAAATAGGCTGCAATAGCGCAAAGAAGGTGCATTCTTGTAAGTGGGCCTTGCATTCTTGGCCTACTGCAGGGGCCAAGCCATTCTGACTCTTCGTAAATGTTTGCTAGGTCCCAGACACTCAAACGCCCATGCGTTGCTGTCTCCTGCTTGACTGAGAAGAAGCACTTGAGCGAGGAAGCAGCTACGGGCTTCTCTGCTTCCCTTCCTCTGAGCATGGCCGGTGGGAAAAGTAGGTTACACAAGAGCGGAGAAACTCCATGGGGAGAATCTTGTGTCACGGGGCACTTCCCGGTTTGCCCACCCAGCACCCGGACTTACCCTCGCCCCCCCCCCCGTCATACCCTCCCACTCCGCACACTCACTTTTGGCTTTTTCGTTCTTTCGGGAGGGTCTCCAGCGAATGCAGGACTTGTGCTCATCCAGGTAGTAGAAACGGACAAGACCTTTGGAACTGCCGCGGAGTTTGATCATTTGAGTGCCCGTCTGCATGGAGTTCATACATTTTTCCACTGTGAAATAAGAGGAAACATAGAAGGGTTACTCCAAAAGGCAGGCACCGAGCAGACCGTGCTTCCATCCCAGGCGGGAAAATTATGTTTGCCAACAGGCACGAAGGGGAGGAAGAGGCCGCTGGATGAATGCAGCTGTGTGGTTTAGAACAGGGTTAAACAATGAAATGTCTTCCAGGCATTTAGGACCACAACTCCCCTACTCCTTTACCATTGGGCATGCTTGTTGGAGCTGATGGAACATACCAGGTTGCTCACCCCTGGGATATAGGGAAGGAGGAAGGCTGATGCACCAGTGAACGAATCTCTTGGTTTCTCTCCTTTTTTTTCAGCCTTATCTTCACTGAATGGTTGCAGATTAAGATTTTTGTCCCCAATTATTAAGAATGTTTCATTTCAAAATTCATTTAAGAATTTTTCATTTCCTCTCAATGGAAGCACATTTTTGCATGCAGCTTTGCCCAATAAGCAACTTTTCCCAAGCCGTTTTCCTCTTACACTGCATTTAAAGCATACTTTGATCTAATGCACACATTTGACTAGGGAATTCCATTGCCAAATGTATAGAAATACAAATATCAAAGGAGAACTGCAGTGACACTATGGTTCTAGGTTTAAGTTAAATGTGAAATGAACAAATTTCCCCTGTATCCTAAGCTCGTAGTTACAAGTAAGTCCAGATGTTTTATCTCACCAAATGCCCAGTTCCTAGCTTGTTTTCAAGTCCTTAGTGGCACCAGCTTGGTAATTCTGAATTGTTTCCTGGCAAATAGGACTAGACATTTGTTCTTCAAAAAACAGACAGAAGGACAGACAGGCACAAGTTCCCAAGAATCTACAGAAATGAGGAGGTCTTTATTCACATGAAAACCTCATGTATAAATTCTGGGCTCCACCAATTCTGGCCCATCCCAACAGGACTAAGAAGATCCTGTATTCTCAATTACCGCTATTGTGAAGAGCGACTCTGTGTCTTATCAACATTTAAGCTCTGCAGAGCTTTGTCAACAGCCATCACTGCCTCTTGAATTTCATGGCTGTTAGGCTCAACCGTTCACAATTAATTTGTGCACTCCCATTTATTTATTTAGCATACCCTTCGGTTGCCCCTCCACTCCGTGAACAGTCCAAGCAACATGTAATACAAAGCTGAAGATTAAGCAGCTTAAAATATTAAGCATGTGCTCTAAAACTTAGGAATAATGAGAAAAATAGAGGGTGATATTGACTAAGAAAAACTTGGAGGAGCAGTCCCATCGTCGGGTGTTGTGTGGTGTATGAAACACACACTAGGCAAATGTTTAGCTCATGCACAGGATGCCGTGCAACAGCAGAGCATCCCAAGAGCACATGCTGGATGAATCCACCCCATGGTGATCAAGGCAGCTCCGTCCAGAGAACCTGGACCTTCTCATCTATATGAAGCGCCTCCTCTTCCTCATGCAGAATACCTGGGCCATGCACGTGAATACACTAACCTGCCACCAGAGGGCCACCTCTTGTGAACGCGATGAAGTTCACTGTGGTTCATGGAATACATATGCCAAAATAAAAGATTGGTTGATCTTTCGGGTGCCACTAAGTTCTTGTTAAAACACAGATCACATGGTAAAGGAGGTGTTTCATTCTTTTGTTTTCAATGGCTTCTAATAGTTCTACAGGTTCCCCTATACCCCGCAGTAGTCAGATCTCACCTAGAATACTGCATCCAGCTTTAAGAACGATGCAGAAAAGTTAGAAAGGGTCCAGAGGAGAGCAACAAAAAGGATCCAGGGACTGGAAACACTGCCCTAAGAGGAGAGACTGAGAGCACTGGGTATGTTCAAGCCTTGAGAAGAGAAGACTGGGCGGAGGCATGATATCTCACTCTAAGTAGCTCAAGAGGAAGGTCAAGATCTCTCCTTCAGAAAGGAAGGTCAAGATCTCTTCTCACTGACACCAGAGTGCAGGACATGAATAACCAACTCAAGTGGCAACAACCCAGATTCAGGCTAGACATCAGGAAAAGCTTCCTCACTGTCAGAGCAACACGGCAGTGGGACCAGCTGCCTGGAGAGGTGGGGGGCTCTCCCACAACGGAGGCATTCAAGTGGGTTGGTGTAAACTGGTGTCCTGCAACAGCAGGGGGTTGGATCTAATGCCCTTCTTGGCCCCTTCCAACTCTGCTATCCTATGTTTCTATAAGCCTAAGAATCTATACAGCTCTTACTTAAATAAAAATGTACACCTATCTTTTTAAAGCACCTTTCAGGCGCTTGCATGCCACTCGGGATGGCAAGAAAAATCAAAGACAATCAGTTGCCTATGATTCTATGATAAAATCTAATAAAATACCCCACCAGTACAACCAAAACAATCATTAAAAAAGCAAGCCCAGCAGATAAAAACAAAGTCATTGAATCAATGCATACAACTGATTGAAGAAATGCCTGTGTAAGCAGGCAGGTTTTTGTGAAACACTGTTAAAGAGGGTAAACTGAGCCTCTCGGGGCAGAGGACTCCACAGCTGGAGATGTGGCTGCAAAGAAGACCTTCTGTTTATGTTTCTCATCTGCTCCAGCACTGCAGAAGATGCAAGGACAAGCTGGGATCTTAATGGCACCTATACCACCATTTTGCATAATAGGAACGCATCTTCATATTGTCAACTTCAAGACGGCCCAACTTCTGGTCTTGGACTGCCAGTTGCCCCTCAGGCAGACAATACTCTCCCATTTTGTCTTCCAAAATGCTGACATCCCTTCCCATCGGAGGACTCATCGGCAGTCTGTGTTGGCACTCGACCTGCCCCAAGCTTAAATATACATCATAGAAGGAAAGGATGGAGAGGGACCTGGGTCATGCAGATCATTAAAAATATCTTGAAAAGTCTATAAAAATTCACACAGGTGCACTGGGACAAATTGCCTTTAGAGTGGTTGCTTTGCAGTATGGAAAGGAAAGGGGGGCATTAAAAATTAACAGGGGCATCGTTATTAGCATAGTAAGTACATGATTTCTTGAAGTGAGGCAGCAGTTGAAGAAGATGCCAGACGAGGGCATTAGAACTTGGGTACTGATTTGGATCACTGGGTCCAACCTCCTGCTCAGGGGGGGACTCCAGGTCCAAGCATCCCCCTCAGATGCCTTCCAGCTCCACCTTGAATGACCCCAGGCTGGGAGAGCCCACCACCTTCCTAGGTCATGGGTTCCACTACTGTTCTAAAAGACAGGGTGTTTCTCCTGATGCTTGGTCAGCATCTCGGTTCTGGCACCTTCGGCCCGTTATATGTTGGGGCTGGGGGGTGCCACCATATTTGTTCCCCCCCTCCCCTCCCATCAGTGCACTTGAGGCTCAGAGGGAGAGAGGACCAGCCATGACAGTGGTGAGGAGTTGTGAGCTTGTCCACAGGTCCCCACAACCTTCTAACCAGTGCTGAGCACAGGCATGGCGCTTTGGACCCGTCTGTCACCCCACGGCAGCCTTCTCTTTTCCCTTTTCCCTGAAAGCCCATCCCAAAAACTTTCCGTCTAACAAAGGCCGATGTGTACCAAGGGAAGGGCTTTGGTGTTTCCTAAGGTACACATGCGCCCAACTGCACCAGCTTTCTGCATTCAGAGCTGCAATTCATGCTGATTCCCGGTTTTGGGAGGCTCCTGGGTGAGGCTGGGTCATGCATATGCGATGTGTTTTGACTCATAGTGCAAAAGATGAGAATGCATTCAGTTTTTCCAGCCGATGTTCACAGATATTAACCCGCTCATCTCTGGATAACCTTTCCTCACTGCCACCGGCTACTCCACACAGGGGCTGCCGGGAACATGAGAGAGGCAGCTGCATCCCACGGGGCAGAAAGTGTTAATTGGAGAACAACCAACTCTTTTTCGCCGGGAGAAAGCACAAGCGTCAGAAAAGGGACTGTCTGGCGGTGCCTGGTGGCGCTGGCCAAAGACGCCTCCTTTCCCAAGAAGGGACACAAAGGCACAGTGTCCGAGATGCTCCAGTCTCGGCTTCCAAAAATGACGCACTCTGCATCCTGCAGGTAGGATGTCACCAAGGCCCTCCGGCCTTCACGGCCGTAAGCCACGCTCTCGCCGACTCTGGGGTGGCTCGCAGTGGGCTAGATTCCACGCCCGCTGAAAGCATCACTGCATCCCTGCCAGGTCAGCGGAAAGGACCACCGCCCTTTTCGAAAACGGCAAGCCAACTTGTACTGCGGCACTCACACGGGAGACACAAAAACCACAGCCGCTCCCACGGCTGCTCTGTGAAGCTGACGCAATCCCCACCAAAGTGAGAGATTCTCTACAGCCATGGCCACTAGCCGCCGGTAGCCTTTGCTCCTTCAGAAACTAGTCTCAGCTAGCCGCTCCAGCACCTCCCTTGCGAGTCCCCCAGAGAGCTGGCAGAGCCAACAAGCAGTCTTTTGGCATCCAACAAACCTAACTATGAACAGGTCCACATCTGCTTTCTTTCTGCCAGACCTCTCTTTATTTACGGACTGGGAAGTACAGGCTGCTTCATATTCCAGTTTGCAAAGGTCAGAGTCCTCAAGCATAAGGTACCTATGCATTTGTCGCTCACAGGCTGTATCATCCAGCAATGGTGGCATGTAGAAATAACAGCCCCCGAGAAGGAATTGCCATTGCGAAATTGCCCAGAAATTCTTGACAGGTTCCACTCCGACACGGTTCAGCACAGGGGGAGTCAAAAGATGATCCGGTACGCATCAAGAGCTCTCATTCCGGAATTCTGCACACAGCTTGCAAGGCAGAGAAAGGTTTGTGGGAAGGCACCCTTTTCCTGGTGAAGGCCATTTCCTAACAACATATTCTGTATTTTTATTTGCGAGCAAGCCTGGGCAGCAATTCCTATTGCCTAAGCACAATATGAGGGAAAGCAACAATCTAAATCCATGAAGAATGAATCAGAAAGGTTTGGGAGTCTGTGAGTTAGTTAAACCAGCACAGTACACAACAGGAACATATATCAAGTCAGACCACCAACTGACTGAACAACTGGAAAAATCTGTGCTCCACTTTTTAGCAAAAGGGCTTCCTGGAGCAGCTCGGAGGCTCCACAGCCAGACAGTCTCTCCCTTCAGGCTTACTGTCTAAAAGACATGGGGCACAAGAGAAAAATGGATGGGAAGGAAAGAGGAAAACTGCAAGCTCAGGAATCATCAGTTCTAATGTCACACGCTGTGCTTGGCTGAGATGAAAACCGCCCTGGTAGAACTGCTGCTATGATTTTCCCCCCTTAGAGAGGTTTTTGTTGATTCTGTTGTTATTTCAAATCCAAAATCTATGTTTCCCTGCATTTTACCATGGAGTTCTCTGACTGTTACCATGAAGTTCTCTAATGAAGCAAAGCAAAAGTAATTTGTTCTCAAATCAAGCAGACCCAGGGCAGCTTATAAGTTTCTTCAACTTTCCATGTTATCTTCACAACAACAACCCTGTGAGGTAGGTCAGACTGAGAGTCCCAGATTAGCCCAAAGTCTTCCACTGAGCTTTGGGGCTAAGGATCTAAACCCAGATCTCCTGGGTCCCCGGTCCAATACTCAAAGCAACACACCACATTTGCTCTCCAGAAATGAGTCTTGTAAGATAAATATGTTGAAAAGCAGATCATATTTAAATACTTATTTAATTATGAAATCATACCGAATTTTTTACTTCAGAAAGCATATACAAATGAATTCTGAAATGGAATAGAATGAAATGAACTCCTGGTCCAGAACATGCAAAAGAGATGCAAATAATGTGTTTGGTCCCTCTGAATTATGTGCAGATTCACATTCTAGTGAAAATTCTGCATTAGCTTGTTCTGAAATTCCAAAAGATAATTTACAGCAAAGATGTAATTAAAGTTCAGCAAACTGAGGTTTAGGGAAGAGTGTTTGTACAGCTGTGTCTATGCACCCTCGCTGAAATCTTACTGCCGAAGTGAACAAAATAATACAAGAACGCAAGATTACCTAAACGGACGAGTGCATGGCCAGCTGCAATTTACACCGACACCAAGTCGTGGAAACACAATCTCAAAGAAGCAATACTTTTCATCGAGGAACAGAGATGCTACAGGCTGAGAATTATCTGAGGACGCACAGCACTCTGTATAACCCCTTCCACAACTGTGCTTAACCACCTCTTAAGCCCCAAAGCCTTAAAGACATTGTATTGTACAAGAGAGAGAGCTAGGCAACTTTTCTCAGCTTACCTATCTGGCCCATTTTCCATTTGGGAGTGGCTGCAATGCTCCCACCAATCCAGAAAAACTCCTCAGCCAGGCGGGCAACAGAAAACTTATTTCGGAGCAAAGGCGATCGGGAGATATCCATGCCGGAACCCTAGGCCACTCCTGAGTCTGATGCAAGTAACCTCCAAGATGTTGAGGTTAGGCGGTTACAAGGTTCCAGCAGAAAAACAAACACCCCCAGAAGTATCACAACAGCAGCAGCAGAAACAAGAAACTCTCTACAAATAAAAGCATCTATTTGTGGATTTTTAAAAAATGCATTTGTGAATTAAAAGTCAGACATTGTTCCAGGCTATTTTGATTCACAGCCAAAAATTGTTCATTCCAGACTTGTTCTGTCCTTCCACAAGACTGGAAGACAAACCCTGAGATTGTTTTCTTGGATGGAGGCGCTTTCAAAAATTAAAAAAAAGAGCTCACTTAAGACACTGAGGGGAGGAAAGAACAAGGCATTAGGCCCCAGAGAGGCAGGGTGACTTTCAAAGGATGCAAGGCAGACCTTGGGTTCAGATTCTGCTATTTCCTTCCCCCGTCACTGATGCTAGACTGTGCTGAAGCTCCTGCAATCTTTTCTTCATGCCACACTCTCTTTCAGTGGCAGGGAGACAATCCCTTGGTGCATTTTGGATCGAGAAAGCATTTGACACCCAAATGAACGCCACAGGCCCATTCACAAACTTTTGATGAGAATTGCACAAAAAGGGTTGCGTCTCTCATGTGTGGTGCCCACAGACGGCCGTGAGTGCCCCTTCAGATCCATCTTGAGGCCAAGATGTCTTCCTTCAAAAGCTGTATGTCTGCTCTTTTCTTTCCAAAAAGCCCTATTTGCATGCACTTGATCAAAAAAGGCATCTTCTGGCCCTTCCTCTGGCTTGAGCTCAAAACAAACTCTTCACCCGCTTCTTGTAAGGAAAAATGCTTTCAGAGCGGCCAGAGGAACAGAAAAGGCTATCCCTTAGTCCAGTGTCGGCAACATGTTTGCCTGAAAACGTAAATCCGGTGTATGTGCTAATCCCAAAGCCGTGGCTTCTGTCCTATCCAATCACAGGATTTAAAGATGGTTGTGTGTGTGTATGTGTGTGTGTGGGCGCGCATGTGTATGTGCATGCTGCAGCCACACACAAATAAGACCAGAAAGAAGAAAAGCCACTCTGCTTTTACTTTCTCTGCCTGAATACAAAGTCCCCCTCCGCAGAACTGAATGGGTATACCTGCTGTCTGCAGAAGACAACAACTTCTAGAGTTTTGTGGCAGTTTGCCCCAAGTGCAACGACAAGGCAAGTCTGAATGCTTTAGGGTTGAGTGCATGAGCTGAGAAAGTTCTCAGAAATCTCTCCAGATGCAAGAAGGGTTTCGCCAGAATTGCCACATTTCCCGACGGGTTGCGCAAGTTTGGAATGGTGTTGCCCACAGGGATATCTGCAGAGCAGGTGCAGGCAAGCGGGTACCTGGCCTTGTAGTCCTGCTGGTGGAAATGCAGTCCAAAGTGTCTGAAAGGTGCCCACCCCCCCCACCCCCCGGTAGAGCATGTTGCAAGAAACAGGCTGGCTGCAAACAAGTTCCAAAATGGCAACTATTTCCCTACTCGGTCACCCCCTAATGAAGACAAGGAGAGAACCACCAGGAGAAGGGTCTTTCCTGCAGTGGCACCCCATTTAGGGAATATGCTACCTAAGGAGGAGCGCCTGGCACCGCCACTGCTTTCCTTCTGGTAAGGCAGGTAAAGGCTTTCCTATTCGACAGGTATATAGTAGTGCTTAGTGGCTGGACTGGTTTCAACATCATTGCGGTGTGCCTTGTTACGAACTTGATTGCTAGATCTGCGCTGGCCAGCTCCATTCCTCTTTTGGCACATGCCAGGAACACGCCAGGGCTGAGAGACCAGAATGCTCAGGGTGATCTTGCGATGGGGAACGAACTCAGGGGGGCTTGAAAAGGAGGCAGTGTGGCAGCCACGAGTGCGTGCAACCTCTCCCGAGTGGACTGGGCTGGATTAACACCTGCCCCAGTTCTGAGGGCATGTTTCTCCACGTCCGAGAGGGCAGTGCCCTGGAGCAGAGGGAGGGGAGCCAATCCTGAAGGCAATGCTAGGACTTAGTACATGTGGATGAACTGGTTGGAGACAGAGGCTGAGTTCACATCCTGCTTGTGGTTCCCCTCGGTGTGAATAAAATGCCGGGCCAGACAGATCCTTCTTCCAGCTCTTCTAACCGTCGAAGAACGTCACACCAGAGACGCCCTTGAAGAACACAAGAGGAGCCATTCTGCGTCCAACCAATGCCCGTCATGCTCAAAAGGGCACGCCATTTTCCCAGCGACCGATGCGGTGCCTGCAGGTAACTCCTAAGCAGGGACTGGAGCGCAGCAACAAGCTAGCTCGTGCCCGGTGGGGAACACAGTGCCCGGAACAAGCTCACGAGAGATTTTGGCACCAGGCCAATCTGTGCTCACACACTGCAGCTCCTGGTTCACCAAAGGGGTCTGGGGCCAGGGCAGTAGGCAACTGGGCCAGGGAGAAAGGTGGGGTGGGGAGAATGACGCGGAGGACTGGCACAATTCTCCTCCAATCTCTGCCCCAGGGAGGAGCTGAAGTGTTCAGAGGGCCACGAGCTTATGACGAAAGGTTACTATTCTCGCCTCCTTTGATGTACTCAGGCAGGCGTTCAAAGAGCCGTCTCCTCTGAGAATTAAAGGTGAGGACACCTGAAGGAGGTGGAAAGGGAGGAAGAGGGGGAAAACGGGACAATACAGAAGTATAACAGGCAACAAAATACGTAAGTTTTGGCCTTTGCCAATCCCTGGATGAATGAGCTGTTTGCTCCCTCTGGGGTTTATGTACATGGACTGGTGCTTCATAGTTCTCCAAACGGCACAACTGAGTGATGCAACACAGCCCTCCCCAGTTTAAATGTATCAACACACACACACACACACACACACACACACAGAGAGAGAGAGAGAGAGAGAGAGAGAGAGAGAGAGAGAGAGAGAGAGAGAGAGAGACTCACACAAACCCAGGATAGATACTCAGTTAAATATGTATTTTTAAAAATCTCTGATCAATGAAGAGATGCAACGGGATGCAAATTAATCTTGCTAGGTAGCCCAATTCATTCCTGGAAGAAATGAATTCTTTATTCATTCTTTAAATAAAGTGGCAATTTATTCTTTAGAGTAGTTAATCTGCCAAAATGCATAATATGTCTTGGAAGGGTTTTGAATAGAAAGGTTGTTTCGAGGAGGAAAGGGGGGGAAAAAACTATGCCGTACTCGGCTGAGTAACTGTTACATGCCTCTGAAGCAATTTTGACTCGAGAAATAACTTTTCCGGGAATATAGCTCTGCTAAATGAATTCAACAGCTTTTAAAAGATGTTGATGGCAAACGAAGGGGTTACCCATCTGTCTTAAGGAAAATGAATACAGGCATTCAACTCTGGATTGCCTCAGAGTAGCCCTTCCCAACTTGGCACCCCCAATACTTTGAATATCAATTCTTTTTTAGCTCCGGAGAGAAGGGGCCAATAGCAGGACTGTGGGGAGCTCCTGTCCAAATCAGCTTGATGCCTTCACCTTGGGGGAGGCCATCTTAGGAAGCCTTCGTCTGACTGGATTCTTTTAAGAAGGATAGTGGCAACTGCTTTTTGACTGACATTCAGACCTGGATATTTTGGATGTGTTCAGGGAATGGAAATGTCACTACTCAATATTCTTCAGACTAGGTGTAGTTCCTGTGTCCTGACCCACAACCAGTGCTAACAGAGCCATTTAAGCTCATGCTTTTTAAAAAAAAAAAAAAGCTAACAGTCATACGGATCACAATAATCCTTGTAACCCGCAAATGGATTTGTGAGGATGCTGAGCAACCTAAGTAGTGAAGACTACATTTTCAGTTTAAAGTATCCACCCGCTATCTTGGATTCTTACTGCTCATTTTTCTGGCAGCCCTAAGCTTCCACCACCCCTTCCCCCTTCTATGCGCTCTCCAACCTATATCCCTCTCTGATCCACCTGCTAGGGAAGTACGTTCTCCCATCTCTCCACCCCAGAGCAAGCCGACTCCTACTTGCTTTGCTCAAGCCAGGCTTCCCAAAAACCAAGCGGGGAAAAGCCTTCAGAAAGCCAGCCTGTACAAAACCTTTCCCTTGACCTCTGCTTTCCCATTCCAGCATTTCTCACTGCCTTCCTGTTCTCCAGCTTAGAATTTTCCTCTGATACATTTCTTTGCTGGAAACTCTAATTTCCCTCTGTACAAATGGGCAAATTTGACCTAGCGTTGCTTTTCCCAAACCGAGTGCCCAAGTCGGTGTTTGTTTCAGCAGCCAAAGTTCTGTGATTCTGGGCAGCCGTCCTCTTTCAATCCTCAGTTTTAAAATGATGCATTTCCTGAACTTGCAGAGAAAACCACACAGTGCTAACCAGTTTAGCTCCTCACCTCTATTAGTATTATTATAATATGACATTTCTATACCACCCACAGCCAAAGCTCTCTGGGCAGTTCACAATATTTAAGTCACCCATCCAGATTTCAATCAAGTCTGACCCTGCTTAGCTCCCAAGATTTGGCAGGATCGTATTTGGTTGTTCTCCTCCGTTCCTGAACAGCACGGTCCCTTCTCACGGGACTTTGTTCTAGACACTTAACCATCCCGGATGCGCTCATCCAGATGCATGCTAGCTTGCCAATGCACTGCTTCGAAGATGACACCCACACCCTAAACACCTTCGAGATGTGCACTGCATGTGGGAAACTAGCATGCCAGTCAAAGGCTAGATGAGACGCTCCCTCCCGAAAGCACTCGCTTTCTATGTGCAGGGCTGTGGATGTCTCCCATGAGAAAGCATTCGAGCTCTAAGGCCCCACTACAGCCTGAAGGGCAACGCAGCTGACTAGCGTGGGGAGAATGAGGCAGTCGCTTCGCAGCTCTCCTTTCCGTCCCCTCCCCTTCCTCCTCAAAACGATACTCCGGTTCATTGGAAATGCAGCTTGTGGAGCTAACAGAAGAAAAATATCTGCCTCGAGACATTCCTAGACTACGGACAGCGCTAATGAGCCGGGCGACACGGCTGTCCGTGGCACTGC